AGGTTACTCAGCATGTACAAAGTCCTGTGTTCAATCCCTAGCACACACAAAAACTATTCTAAACAATAGTAATGGTTCAGGTGAATACATGGGGGTGGGGGACTACAGAAAAGCTGATACAACAAGATGGCACCTGTAAATTGAGACAAGAGGCCTAGAAGAGTTAGTTCTAAGTTCTATTCTTCCAGTTATTCTGTAAGTTTCACATTATCTTAAAATAACAAGCACATCATCTGGACAAAAAGAATACCAAACTCAATGAAGACCACACCTACTTTGCCCCTAGAGGCACACACATGCACTTTCACATGCATGCATATAGATATCATACATGCCCCACACACAGTGGAGACTCACAGCAGCCCAGAGTAGTCCAATCTTGGGACGACTGTCAAGTTGGAGAAACACCAGGTCCAAAGTATGGATCCCTATTCTCATAGCAAAGATCTGAGAGAACCAATGGTCTAACTTCAGTCAAATGTATCTACCAAATACTACTGGACCATGCCATTGTAAGAAGAGTTCACTTAAAAAATGCATGGATACATGTATGTGCACACTGATACATCAACACATTTAGTCCAATCTTCTTATCCTCCCTTCAGATTTGGAAAATACATAGTACAGTACAAGCAGCTGCAAGGGAAAAAATATAATCTAAGTTATTACAAAGAGAAAAGGTGAATCAAAGGTAATTACTACAGAATGACAGCATTCAATTTAAAAAGCAAACAAGAAACTTTTGTGACTTCAGGAGAAATATTACAAAAGCATAACATTGGCACAGAACTATAATCCCAACTAATTAGGAAGCCGAGGCAATAAATACACTTAAAAGATATAAAGAACTCATAAAACTTAATAAGGTAACAACAATAAAACTGGGTAAAAAAAAATTCAAACATACACTTCAGGGTTGGGGAGATGGCTTGGTGGTTAAGAAAGGGAATTCACATTCTCAGAAGACAGGTAATTGCTAAGTAGGAGTGGGGGTCTACCTGTAGTCCCAGAGCTAATCAGGCATAGACAGAGGATCCTCAGAGAAAGCCAGCTAGCCAGACTAGCTATATCTGCAAGTTCTGCCTTCAACTGAGAGATCTAGCCTCAATAAAATGGTAGAGATAGAGATTGATAGGGGAAGACCCTGCACACATGAGCCTCTACATACATGCATTCACACACATGCATGCAAACACAGCCATATACACTTAACACACACACACACACACACACACAGGAGAAAAAAAAGATACACACATGACACATGTTCATTAAGTGAATAAGAAGATAGTCAATATCATTTGTCATCAGGGAACTACAAATCAAGACCACCATGAAATACTCCTCCTGCTCACCATGACGGCTACAATGAAAAAAACAAAAGTAACAAGCAATGACAAAGACTTGAAGAAATGCTAACCCTCAAAATCTCTGGTGAGAAATGTAGGGTAAAGCAGCCTATGTGGAAAGCAGCATGGCAGTTTTGCAAACTGTAAAGCATAGTCTTACAATGTGATTAGCAGTTCCTCTAGGCCTCTATCATGAGCCACATAAAATCTTGTCCACACAGAAACTAGGGTGCAACTGTTCATGGTATCATTTTTCATGACAGGCAAAAAGTAGTATGGTAGTTTGGATAGGAACTGCCCCTACAGACCCCTGTGTTTGAATGCCTGGTCCATAGGGAGTAGCACTATTAGGAAGTGTGGCCTTGCCGGAGTGGGTGTGGCCTTGTTGAGGAAGTATGTTACTGTGGAGGTTGGCTTTGAGGTCTCATATTTGCTCAAGCTAAGCCCAGTGTGGAACTAAGTTCCTTGCAACCTTCAGATCAAGATATAGAACTCTCAGCTCCTTCTCCAGCACAATGTCTGCCTGCGTGCCACCATGCTTCACGCCATGATGATAATACTAAACCTCCAAAAATGTAAACCAGCCCCAATTAAATGTTCTAAGAGTTGCCATGGTCATGACACCTCTTCGTAGCAATAAAATCCTATCTAAGTAGAATTGAATTGTTCACCAAACAATAAATGTCCTTGACACAAACTACGGTCACCACGGAAGAGGAAAACTAAATTGAGTAATTGCCTCCATCAGACTAGCCAGTTCACATGTTTGTGGAACATTTTCTTGATTGAGTAATGATTGATAAGGGAGGGTCCAGGCCACTGTGGGTGGTGCCACCCCTGGACAGGTAGTCCTGGACAGTATCAGAAAGGAATGAGAGCTATGGGAGCAAGCCAGTAAGTAAGCAGTGCTCCTCCATGGCCTCCGCTTCAGTTCTTGCCTTGGTTGTCCTCAACGACGAATTATTAAAAAACAGTATAAGATGAAATAAACCCTTTCCTCCCAAGATGCTTTTGGTCATGGTATTTTACCATAGCAACAGAAAGCAAACTAGAATAGTAAATAAATAGAATGTGTTATGGCCGGCTATAGGAATACCATCTACTGGGTAATGAGAAGCACTGATATGTGCTGCAAGATGTGTCAACCTCAACATGTATGAACATGTATGTTGGGCTGAAAGCAGTCAAACACAAAGGTTACACATCATATGATCTAGTTGTAAAAGAACATTCTGGGACTAGAGACAGTCGGTAACATGCTTGCCACACAAGCAAAAAGACCTGAGTTTGGATCTCCAGCACCCAAGTAAAGAGCCAGGTGCAGTACATGCCTGGTAATCACAGCACAGAACAAGTCTAGCCCAGTTAGTGAGCTTCAAGTTCAAGGAGAGACCATGTCTCAAAATTAAGGTGGAGAGTAGTTGAAGAAGAAACACAATGCAGAGCTTCAGTCATCAAACAGACACACACACACACACACACACACACACACACACACACACACACAAATGAATGCATTACCCAATATAAACAGAAACAGATACATGATTGTTTAGAGCCTTAACAGTCCCAAACCTGTAACAATCCAAATGCCCAGCAACAGGTGAGTAAATAAATGTGGCATCAAACAAAAGGCACTATTACTCAGCAGTAGAAAAGGAATAACTTGATAGTATTTGCATTGACATGTAGCGATCTCAAAAATTATGATTAATAAAAACAACAGACACCAGGATACATAAGTGTATGTTTCCGCTTATCTAAGAAATTCTAGAAAACATAGATTCAACAATAGTGGCTAATCACAGTGATTGCCTAGGGGTTAAAAAAGAAGAAGAAGAAAAGGGAAGAAACTGGCTGTACAGAAAGTTTTTAAAGGGATCATGATGTTCTCTATGGAACATTCTGCATGTATGTACTGTCAAAATTCATCACGCTATACACAATAAATTACAAGATACTCTACATGAGTTATACCTCAATTCAGTTGAACAGGATGAAGAACAATCATTGGACACTTTCTATTTACGATTTAAAACAGCTACCTGTATTTCATTTCAGCCAATAATTCAAGGAGCAAGTTAATTAAAAAAAAAAAAACGAAAAAAAAAAAAACACCCACAGAAATGTTTCAACAGCAAATAGGCCAGCAACTTGCTTTTCATGTCAATGTGTTTCACAAACAGAAATGAAAACAGAGCTAGGAGATCATAGTCATAGCACCTGATTCTGGCCCCTGATCCCACCTAGAAAACAAACAGTTGTGGGCAAGGGATGACTTCTGCCAGCCTCTGTTTCCACATCTGTAAAATACATAATTCAGGCCATTACATAGTATATTCAAAATTTTAAATCCTTAGGTTTACTGCCTTAAGACAGGCTCTCTTTCAAGACAAAACTCTGACAGCAAGAACTGGACCTGTCTTATTTCCCACTGATCCTCACTGCCAATGCTTACCTACTATAGAATAAGCACCAAATTGCATGTCCAAGGCCTTTGACCCAACGAACTGCAGACAAGAGGGACTTCTGATAAAGCTGTAATGACTGACAGGCAGTCTGTTGTGTCCACTGAGGCTGCAGAAGCACAGTGAACCCAAATCAGATGGGATCTTTCAAGCCATTGGGAAATTCTGCATTTATCAGAAGTGGCAGAGACCCTTGAGAGACTTAAACAGGTGGCTGCCAATGGGGCATGACTAGAGTTAAATTTGGGGGAAGAAAAAAAAAAACACTCTCTAGTAGAGTGTGAGAAGCAGCATATAATTGGGGAAGGAGGGGGATAAAGACTAGAGTGAAGGTAGCCCAATAAGGAGGCTTTTGTAGCAAGCCTCTTAAGGGACCATGCTAGATTTGTTCAAGGGAATAGAAATGAAAGAATGGACTGAATGCTGATACACTAGGACAAATCAATAGGTCACAACTTTGGAAATAGGGAAAAGAAAACATTGAGCTCCCATTCCTCATCTGCAGAACAGACTGTTTATACTCTACTTATGTAATTTATGTCTTTCCATATGATGCAGCAATATGAAATATTATGCATTCAATACATTTAATACAATAATTTCTGTAAATAGTAAGTCACTGTTATTGCTGTTATTATTGTCATCCCATGTAATGTCCTGTCAGAAGCTGAACAGCAAAGTCAGAGACTAGGAATGTACTAACCACAGAAGCTAGGTAAAGTGTATTAAGCTGTGAGGACCACGCAGACTACATCACCAGAGACAATGTTCCAAGTAAATACGTGACACCGAATAGATACTTTATCTCAGCTGCACTCAGGCCTTGGAAACCGCTACAGGCTGAGAAAGCACACATAGCAAGATCATAATCATCTGGTAAACTGAGGCACGAGAGTGGCTACAGATAAAACTACGGAATAGGTACAGAAGCAGGACACGGACATTGATGTCTAGTTTTTCATTTCTGACCATGTACTAGATCTGCAGTGCAATATGACTCTACAGCATAGACGTGCGCGCGCACACACACATACACACCACGTCTGCAGGTCTCTTGCAAACAAGGCCCTGTCATCCCTTGGCTTAACGCCGAGCATCCGCTCACCATCCTAGCTGGTCTGTGGCTTCCCTGCCCCTAGCCCTGAACTAACGCAGAGTTCCAGATGCCCAGAGCCCCACATACCTTAGCTTCACGCTCTCGTTCCTCCGCAGTCTGGGCGCGCTTCATGCTGCCACTAAAGCCTTCTTCGCCACAGTCGGCCGCGTCCACCCTCGTTCTGGACCCCGCCTCCTGTGTGTAGTTCTCTCAGCAGCTCTTTCCCGCCTGGCTCCATTCTCTCTAAGAGCCTCAAGAACTACGCTTCCCAGGATGCTTTGCGAGACTCCCGAGAACTCCTTGGGCTTCAGTGCCGAATTTCTCAAGTCAGCCAGCTGAGCTAGCTAGCTCAGTCCGCTACGCGACCCGCCGACGGCCAGGAGCCCAGGGAGAACTACATTTCCCAGTGGTAACGGGACTCACCATGTTTTCCCGTGCTCCTCTGGGCCTGCGGCAGCCCGCGCTCTGGGCGCTATAGCAACGGTAGCTAGCTGAGAGCGAACGCGGAGGTGAGTACCCTGTGAGGTGGGGGCCGAAGCAGGTTGGCCAGCCCTCCCTCTGCCTCACAGCTGAGGGCCTAGGGTCCTCTCCGAGGCCTGGGGAAGGCCTGGGATTCTTGCGTGAAAAGCAGTCCATCCCGACACACCTCCACATACAGGCCTGCATCAGTTCGCCCTGACCGCCTGCCAAACCAGAAACCTAGCTGATAAGAATTGGCAACCCTGCAATTCGAAGGTCACAGTCACAATTAGCTCCATTTCCCAGAATTTGGGATTGGATTTAGAACCTAAGCCTTCCGAGGCACTTGTTTCTGTTATTGTTGTCGGTGGTGATGGTGGTGGTGGTTGATTTTTAAAAATGGGGTCTTCAAATATACCGCAGGCTGGCCTTGATACCTCTTTAGCCTATGCTGGCCTCAAATTCAGCAATAGGCCTTGCCTCAAGTTCCCACTGCCACAGTCAGTTCCTAGCGGCCTATCTTTATTATTTCTCATCTGAATACTCCCATAGTCTGTTAAAGCCATTATAGGCAAAGACATTGTTTAAACTTTGTGCCTGGCATTCATTTATTCATTCAATAAATGTGAACATTGATGCCCACCATGTGACCTCAGATAGTAGAAGGGGGACTACTTGGAAGATTAAGGGGACCATTGAGAGAACGCTAGAGAGATGGAGGATGGTACAGGAACAAATAATAAAGCAAAAAAGAATGTGAAAATATAATGTGCTAAATTAATAATGAATTATAAGACAACAAATTTGACTGAACAACTCTGAAATAATAACAGAGGCTGTTGCTGTAAGAAACAAGCCATAGCCCGGTATGATGGCACACTCATGAAAAATCCAGAGTTTACACAGGAAATAGTGGCAGTTTAATCCTAGCACTCTGAAAGCAGAGGCAGATGCATCTCTAAATTCCAGGCCAGCCAGATTTACATAGAGAGACACTGTCTTAAAAAAAAAAAAAAAAAAAAAAAAAAAAGGAAGGAAGGAAGAAAGAAAGAAAAGAATAGAGAATTTGAGGCCATAAGAAAGAAAGAAAGAAAGGAAGGAAGGAAGGAAGGAAGGAAGAAAAGAATAGAGAATTTGAGGCCATAGTGCTTGGTGTTCTTGGGGAATTTGAAGTCAGCCTGGACAGTGTAAGTTTCCCTTGAAAAGGAAAAGCTAGAAACTGAGAAGAAAACTAACAGGGGATAATAGTAAGAGAAATTTTAGGTGACAGTTGGTCTGAGCCCTGACATTGAGGAGACAAGTAATGCAAGAACCTTTGGTGTGAGATTGAAGAAGGCCGAGAACAGTGTAAGAGGAGCAGAGAGAGCAAGGAGGGAGGATTTGCAGTGGGGTTGGGGAGGCCATGCAGCATGATGGAAGATTTCTTAGCCTCTGCAATAGTCATGTTCTGGGCCCAAAAACTCACCATTATACATCAATCCTATACTTCATTGCTGGCATCCACCCACTACATGCCAGTAACACTCTGCTTATCAATTGTGATAACCAAAAATATCACCAAACTATTCCTGGGCAGATGACCTTGAGCAATTGAGTTAGTTTATGTTAGCTTCTGTTTATCAGGAACCATTTGTGTAGTAACCATTACATGAGCATATTGTAGGCACAGAGCAATCAGTGTGTGTTAGCATAGTCTTCTGTCATCATTCTCTGAGATATAAGTCCCTGGCAGTGTGGTTCTCAGCCTAATACGAGTCCTAGGCAAAGTCCTGGACCCTCTCTAGGAGATACTCTTCATGCAGAGATACATAATCATCATAGGCCAAGTCTCAGCTTTTAGATGTTGAAATCCAAGAGCTCCCTTTACCCATTCAAATGACTCTTCAGTGAATGCTGCTTACTGAGTGTGCCACACTCAGAACCAACTTCTGAGACAGAAGTAGACTAGATGAATAAGCTCTCTACTTTCTTGGTCTTCACGTTCTACAACCAGCATTCTAGAACTTGGAAGTCTGTGCCTCACAAGGCTCTTCACTAACAGTTTACATCTAACTTTCTGGGGTGGTCAAAGTGGAAATATTTATTTATTTATTTATTTATTTATTTATTTATTTATTTATTATGCACTGTATATTCACATCCACATACAAAACTAAGTTATTGTGGTATGTTTCTGTAAAGAAAAGAAACTAAAAGTCCTAGAGCAAGCAAGACAAACCAATATATTGAGGTGCCTCATCCCTGGAACCTGCCTGAAGTAACAAAGGAAGGGTGCAACAGACGTGAAAACAAGTCATAAACACATGGAACCTCTTTCAGGAGCTTGTAAGGGGCTATTCATTTGCACACCATGCAGACAGCTGGCATTCCTAGACTCTCCACATCCCTGGCACATTTGCTAAATGCCTTAAGTTTGTAATCTCACTTGCTTTTAGAGTAACTATGAGGTAGGTATCATTTGCTCTATTTTTAAAATTAGGTAAATTTAATGACCATCTATTAGATGATAGAATAAACTATTTGCCTCAAGTTCATGACCTGAGTTTGTTTTTGTTGTTGTTTTGTTATTGTTGTTCGGTTTTCCAGAATCCATGCTGTCTTTAAGGAAAGGAGTAGGGACAGGAAGTATTTCTTAACTTTGGAAAGGTTTCTTTTTGTTTCAGATAGATGGATAAGAAAAGGAGGAATGCTTAATCTTACCTCACTCAGTTCCTAAGAAAACTGTAGGGAGTACTCTGCAGAAAGAAGACAGTCTTCATGATTGGATGCAGTGTTCCTTCTAGAATAGGAGCTTTCATCTTGCTCAAGCAGCACATGTGGGCAATAACATGTCCATTAAAGTTCTAGTTTCTTATTCACTTTATTTGGCTCATTCCATTGCATAGTTGATGCAATAACTTAGAGAGCGTTTGTTTGAGTTTTCTTTTCTCCACAGATAGGCCATGTCTGGTCCAAGTGATGAGACGGCAGGAGACCTGCCGGTGAAAGATATTGGTCTAAACCTCTTTGGAGTTGGAGGGTTACAAGGTATGGCCACCTGTTATTTATTACAGTTATGAACTTTGTTCAGTAATTTCTGTACTTTTAATTTAAAGTATTTCTGATAGTCATACAAACCTAGCCATTTAAGTAACTATATAGCTCTTGATTGGACTAAACAAGATGGAGTGTTTAAAACACATGTGGTATTTTACTACATGCATCAATTATCAACAGCTCATAGCAAATGCAAGATCCCCCTCTGTTCTGATAAAGAGTTGTTATAAATCATCTTTTTAAAATTCCACACATCAGTAGAAACTGCATAGAGTATCAGGCCTCCAAACCGAATTGCCTGGTTTAAATCACATTCACCATTAAAACACTTCTTTATGTTTAAATTTTATATGAGAGGAAATACCATATTTTAAAATTTTTGCCTTTCAAGTAGAGTATCTCAAAATGGCCTGTTTATGCAAGTGATAGTGAGTTTTCAATCACATTAATATACATTAAAGGCTTTCTTTATCCTTTTATCATTTAGTTGTTCCTGTAGAGCTGAAGAGTACTTTCAGCCGAGAGAGCAAAGCACTGCTTTAAAGAGAGCCAGGTTCATGTTTGTGGACAATGCCAGTCAAATCCCTGTGCCACTGACTTTGCTAGTAGGAGGCTGAAGGTTCAAAATGTATCTTAAGAACTCTCCATGTGCCTTTTGATTATAATGATGTCAATGGCAAGATTTAGCTACCTTCAGAAGGTAGCCAGTGTATTATTGGTCATTGAGAACAAAATTGTCCACAAATATTATGAAAAGGAAGGATTTTTAGGCTTTGCTTTAAATTATGGAACCAGTATCCGGTATTCAAATGCTAATAAGTGCTTATAACTATTGGTTTTTGGTACTGTGTAAGTACTATCCTTATTATCAGTAACTACCCTCAGTCTTTAACATCTGGTTGAAAATTAAATATGTATATATACTTAAAAGTTACAGAAGTCTGTTGAGTTGTGTTGTGTTTTTGAGGTATATCTTATTATGAAGCACTGGCTGATCTGGAACTCACAATGTAGACCAGGCTGGCTTTGAACTCACAGAAATCACCTGCCCCTGCATCCCAAATGCTGTGATTAAAACCATGTGCCACTATGTCAGCTCTAAAAGTTAATTTTCAATATAGTAAATAGCTTGTAGAGAAATGATCTGTGAAGTTTTCAAATGACAGGGTGTTTTGGGGTTTTTTTTTTTTTTCTTTTCATTTTTTTTTTTTTAAGTTTTAGAGGATTTTTGTTTTATAGTTTATGTTTCTATATCCTAGCTCCCTAACTCAGAAAAAAAAAGTCCTAATCATATTATGTTCACCAAATTGTTCCAGTTTTTGCGTCTGTAAAACAATACATATATATTCGCAGATCCAAGGACTTCTTATTGCTGCCTTGTTAGTGATTAAACCTTGCACATGCTTGCTCGACATGTGCTGTATGCCACTGAGCTGTGCTCCCAGACCGGGTAGCCTGACTTTCTCAACTGTAGGGCTTTACAGCACCCAGAATAGAAATTAGAAACCTTTGAATATGTTCCTTCCTATATTCTGAAAAAGTGACCAGGTCTATGCTAGTGAATACATTTGTTGCTCAGATCCCTAATACTATAAGTGACGTATTAATCACAGAGATGCTCCATCTCACCCAAGATCATTGTCATGAACAATGCTATAACATTTTCTAAAGAAAAATGACTTAATTTGCAGGTCAAAGTGGGAAGGGGGTGGAATTTGAGTGTGATAGTGCATACCTGTAATCCCAGCACTTGCAAATTAGAGGGAGGAGGATTAGAAGTTCAAGGTCATCCTAGCCACATAGATTTGAGGCTAACCTGTCCTGCATGAAACCTTTTTCATAAAACCAAAAAATAGGAAAAATTGAAAGGTTGAAAAATTGGAAATTATCAGAGTTTCTTTTAGTATCAGCAGTTATCAGTTTTTAGTGACTATTTTAAGAATTAATTACTTTGGCATTTTTTCAGAAACTTCAACTGCACGAACAATGAAGACTCGCCAGGCAGTGTCACGTGTCAGTCGTGAAGAACTGGAAGACAGATTTTTGCGTTTGCATGATGAGAACATTTTACTTAAACAGCATGCCCGCAAGCAAGAGGATAAAATTAAAAGGTTATGATAAAAAGCTTTTAGCTTTTTTTCTTAACTCTGTAAAGTTTGAAGGATATAGTTTTTTTTATAAACTTAATTGAAAGCCCCACCTTCAATCTTTTCTGGAACAGGCAGGTTATAAATAAATAGAATTTTTTAAAAATGGAAAATCTTACAAAGTAGAATAATAAACTAAGAGGATTGTGTTTATTATGTCTGAAGTTGCTATTTGAAAGAACGCAGCTAATAGCTAAGAGTGCCATGAGTATATTAGATCTATAAATAACTTTGGGGTTAATATTTATGACTTAATAAGCAGATAGCCAAGCATCTGTTTTTTTAAATGTGATGAAAGTTTAAAAAGTATTAACTATTCCAACTTGATAGAATGTGTGCTCCCTTATAATTTGGGATTTACTAATGAAAACATCACTTCCATTTGGGTCATGTCTAACTTCACTTGGGCTAGTCTTGGTTCTGTATTTATTTCAAACAATCTCTACCATTTCTGGAAAAGCACCTTGTCACTTTTGATGGACATGTGAAGAAGGTGTGCAGGGATGATGTCTTCAGAGTAATTTCTCTTCAGTTCCTTTTAACTGAGAAGTGCTGTGGCCATCATTTGAATGCCTGGCATTGGAAACAAAAGAGTGCATACAGAGCTATATTCAAAGTTACGCTCTAGGCTTCTAAAGAAGGAAGGTGGCCCTCTGCTTAGAAAGGAATCCATTTTACTTTCTACCCTGTGGGCTTAGTTTCAGACCACTAGCCAACCCCAGGGCAAGCTTCTACTTTTGAGTTGTTTTTGAGACATAGAACTGGATACTTTTAAGATATACCTGATTCTTTCACCTCCAGGTCCACCAGCCAGAATGAGACGTGAAGTCTGTGACCACTAATTTTTTTTTTCCCTTTGTCTACATTATTGGGCAGTGAAAGAATTGAACTCACAATCCAACCTGAGTAGTAATTTGTACTAACCAAAAAATAAAACCAGCTTAATTAATAATGAACCACCTAGTTAATGGGTGGGCTTGGGGGAACTGGGCTATGAGTCAGGTTGAATTATATGTGTTCTGTTATCTTTCTCCCAGCGTCTTGTGCTGAGGCCATTTACTCTCTTGTTTTAAAAAGCTATGGAAGTACTTACTGAACATGGGCCCATAGATGTAAATGCCTTTTCATCCTTACCCACTGACATTAGCCTGATCCATGGATAGTGTCTTTACATTTATCCTTAAGGTGTGAGTGAGTATCACCTTTTGTGTAAATATGGATTTTACAAATTGTCTTTAAGTAAGTACTCAAACCTTATAATTCATTAATAACTCAAACAAATGAAAAATATCCCTGTGGCTAAACAAGCACATGCAGTCTTGCATATCCTGATAAAGTTTACTTGAAGAGCATGTCAAGCATCTGAAGACATTCTCTTGCATTAAAAAAAAATATTCATCATTCTTCAGATGACTGATTTTTATATGAAATGTGTGCTTTTCCTTTTAATGTAATCTGTTTCTAAGTGCTAATCTTCCTGTAGTAAGTATTCAGATAATTTAAGTGACTTCTCATTTGGATGAATATAGTATTTTTATGGATAGGCCATTGAGCAGGGCACAGGACTCTAACCTTATTATTACTGGGCAAGGCAGAATGTGGTTTTGCGGGGTGATGATACCTGGTTAGGATTCCCAATGATAGATCATCCACAGGACTAGGTGGAAAAGGAAGTAATCCACTGATTACTAGGATGTTTGTGGTATTCTTGGATCTTGGTTTTTATTATCCAATATCTCTTATAAAGCATGCTTAGTGGATATGCCTCAAGGGAAAGAGAAAACAATCTTAACTGATTATGTTATGCATAGCTCTCCCTGATGCCACATGCTGTAGCCGAATAGCCAGAAGTGTAGATAGACATGTATTACTACCGCATTTACAGAAGACTCCGCTTAGGGGGAAAACTGTGTTCTATGACATCCCAAAGCTATTAAGGTTTTTTTTTTTTTTTTTTCACTTTTGTTCCCTTAAGTAAAAGCTTCTGTCCATAACCATGCTAAAATAAAGCAAACCCCACTTAAAGAAAAATGTAGTGTGTTTTTATTTCCAATCTCCTGTCTGGGTCTTTATAAAAATAGATTCACTATAAACTAGAATCAGCTATTGAAGATGTGCGACCAATTTTGTAAAGTCTTGAACTTGTGTCTCTCATCAAAGCCACCTTTTCTTTCTTGTCCTGCCAAGATTTTTCCATTCTCTGTCAGGCATGTTTTCCATGCGTGTATATTACATCACCCCCATGTGCCCATTCTGTCTTTTGTTCTGTCTGACCAGTTTTTATCAAAACTTGAAAGAATCAAAGGTATGGGTTCCTGGGTTGTCAGTAGAACAATTTATGTCCAGAATTTTTAAGTATCATTAAAATGATATTTCTTGCATATAATTATTTTTCTGAAATTAAACACTAACGTTTGTTGAGTACCAACCAACATTTAAGTGTCATATTTTGGTTTATTTTGAAATTTCCATTGGATTTTATATGTGTACATCTGTGAATTCTATCATTTTTATTATTTTTTCTTGTCTTAATCCTATAGAAATATAAGATACTGTCCTACCTAAATCTGCATAATTTTAGCTCACTTTTCAAAAGTTCTAACTCATTGTGGATTGTAGACACAGCCCACCACATCCACACTCCGTGACTACATTTAAGTGCATCCAGTGTTCCTATATAAGGTCATGCGTTAAAAATTGCGTTTCTGGAACATATGGGGTAAATATGTGTCCTCTCTTTACTAACCTTAAATGATAAGCCTTAGGAAACTGCTATTTGTCAGTGCTATAAAGCAGATTGTTGCCCAATGGTTTCAATTATCATCAAAGGATTCTTCACAGGCAGTAATAGTTACATCAAAACCTGAAATTTATTATTCAGGTTCTGCACTGAAGTCTTCACAGTGATTATGTTCCTTTCAACAGAATGCATTTTATGCTGACTTCTCACATTCCTTTTCATCTTTTTATTATTTCCCTAGAATGGCCACCAAGTTAATACGGCTAGTTAATGACAAGAAAAGATATGAGCGGGTTGGTGGCGGCCCCAAGCGGCTGGGACGAGATGTAGAAATGGAAGAAATGATTGAGCAGCTCCAAGAAAAAGTTCATGAGCTTGAAAGACAAAATGAAGTCCTCAAAAACAGGCTAATATCAGCCAAACAGCAACTCCAAGTCCAGGGGCACAGGCAAACTCCGCACAGTCGTGTGCAGGCTCGAATTAACACTGGCCGCAGGAAAGGGAGCACAAGTACAGGCTTACAGGAATGCCCCAGGAAAGGTAAAACATTCACCAAACACTGGACTTAAGTCTAAACCTGTTTCCCACTGACATACACAGCTTTGTTTCTTATTCATGTTTTTACATGTCTTCAAAGGGGGTTCATAACAGTTTGAGGCTTGCTTTCTGCAAGATCCCAATGCTATAACAAAGATGGTTTTATTCAGGAATCCTTGGGTTACTCTCCATTTATTTAGTTACACAATACCAAAACTGTTATAGTAGGCCTATATGTAACTAAGAGCAATTAAGGTTGAGTTGAATGCAAGTGCTTGCCCCTGCACTTTGTAGCTGGTGAATGAGGACAAAATGTTGATTTGTAGTTTCCTTTGCATGTGAAAAGTACTGTAGCCAGTGATTATAAAAGTCTTGTCAACTGTAAAATAATTATGCCATCAGTTTCTTCACACTGAAAAGAATAGTATAAAGCCTCTCTATATTACAAAGCAATTGCATAGACCAAACTAATTTAGGCATCAAGCCCAAATCCTTTCCACCCACAAATTAACTTATTAAAATGAAACTAAAAGCATATAAATATTTTAAATTTCTTTTTTTTTAAATGATGCTTCTAGAGAAGGAAATAAAATGTTAGCTCTAATTGATTTTTACTAGGAATATGCTTCACAGAAATATCCAACGTCTTTTGTAATATTAAAAAATGATGTAAACCTTTAGTTATAATTCATTGCGGAAAGGGAAACACCATATGAACAGAAGGAGAGGGGGAAAAATTGTACATTTCTTTTCCAGAGTGAAATGTTAGCACTGTCTCTTCCCTAGATAGTGTGCCTTTGAAGTCAGAACGGCCTCCATACGGACAGGAGGCAGCTGCAGGATGAAAGGGCTTAGCTGTTGCCAGCTATGTGAGATTGCGGTAGCCTTTGGGTATAATCAAAGTGAGCACAGCAAATTATAAATCAGAAAACACACTGTGCCGTGAATTGTCATTTTATGGAAGTCAACCCTTGACTTCTCAGCCTCGTTTTCTCCATCTATAAAATGGAGTGATAATAATACCAATTTACTGAGGAACAGTCCCTTCAAAAGTCATGTCCTCTCTGAACCTTTTGTCACCTAGAAATGCAAGTAGATGAGATGATATGGAAGGACTGCCAGGACTTTTATGCTACGTAAAAGTAATGCCCAAACGTTACATTGATATGGCAGTGTTATTGCTCTCCAAATCTAAGGCATCAGCTTACCCTCCTCTCCATTATAAATGTTTGTTTTAAAAATTATCCATAGAATCGGTCTTTAACCGATTTAACATTACAAACTTAAATGTGTCCTTGTGTCTGTAATCTCTTTGTGACTTACAACTGCTTCCCCATTTTTAGTGTCTGGGACACTGAAATCACATGCTGTGGTAAATGTTGAATACTTAGTCATGGTATACAAGTAAACCTGAGGGGTCATTACCAAAGTTAATCTTCAATGTGCAGTAGTCTTCGAAGCTGCCTTTGAGATTGGGACATGAGCCCATTTTTTTTTAGGATGACTATCTTGGGCGGAGGGGGGCTGAATTAGAAGCCCAGACCCCCTTTGACCAAAGGAGTCATCTACCCTGAAACTGCTGTGGGAGTGCCATCATTCCCTGTTTGAACCTTGAAATAAATGATGGCAAGCACTGGCTCAAGTGTGATTGATATTATGTAGATAACAGTTCTTACTGTGAAGAACCACTGAAACAAAAACTTGTGTAAAGTATGTATGTCTTTAAAGTACAGCACCTTGTACTCAGAAAACTGCAGCAGGTAGCTGGAGAGATGGTGTAGTAGTAAGAGCACTGGCTGATCTTCCAGAAGACCAGAATTCAATTCCCAGCTCCCATGTGACAGCTCACAACTGTCTGTAACTCCAGTTCCAAGACATCTGATACCGTACTCTGGCTTCTGTGGGCACTATGATACACATGCTACACAAACAAAAATCACCACAATGTACACACTACACAGCAAAAACAGGCATTTTACACACAAAATGAGGAGGAGGGGGAAGATAATGATAAATTATTCTTTAAAAACATTAAAACAAGCTGGATAGTGGTGGCGCACAGCTTTAACTCCAGCACTCAGGAGGCAAAGAAAGGCAGATTTCTGAGTTCAAGGCCAATGTGATCTATAGAGTGAGTTCCCAGACAGCCAGAAATAATACACAGAGAAACCCTGTATCAAAAAAAAAAAAAAAAAAAAAAAAAAAAAAGACTAAGGTAAGAGGTTGTAGAATTTGAAGCCATCCTGAACTACATCAGACAATCAAATCAAAATTGAAAAAAAATATGTAATAACCACTAGTTAGAATAATGACTGAAGTTACTAATTAATAGCCAAATCAGCATGTGGCCAAATTTGTAAATATACTTTGAATTTAGTCTTATAACTCCACTGCTAATTTTGAATTTCCCCATGATTGTGTAGGGAAAGCTTGAGTTAGTACTATAGTCCACGTGTATGACTGGCCAATTGTGGCACAGGGAAGTCTGAATGTCTAGGCGGGTCCTTTCCTATGCTGCAGTGTAGGCTACGGCAGTAGATAATGAGCACATCAGTTAAGAGGGAGGGAGGAGGTCCATCTTCACTGGTCAACTTGCAAATAATGAAATATCTCATCTCCATTTAAAGTCTCCATCATTTGTTGCACTTTACTTAACTCTAATGATTCTAGAAATATAAAATGACATGTAATTAAAAGTATGTCTGACTTTTAACAAATGAACTGTCCTTGTCACAAACTTTATATACCTTTTTTTCCTTTAAGACGAATGTCTTCTTCTATTGCCCAGGCTACCTCAAACAGTTTGCCTGCCTCAACCTCCCAAGTATCTGAGACTGTCTATATGGGCCATCATAGGTAGCACATGTAACTTTCTATTAGAAAAATACTGCAGGATGCTGATTTATATTAAGAGCTTTTCTTGTTGGTGATTCATTCTTAAATCACCCATTTTACAATGAATTTTCTTATTGAGGTTGAAAAAGCAAAGACGATAACAAAAATTAAGGTTGTAAGATCAAGGGATGTCTATGGTTAAATATTAAAAGATCATTATCAAAATCACTAGAAAGGAACTGGTGAAATGCTACTTGCCACCAAGACTGGCGACCTGAGATTAATCACCAAGACATATATAGTGGAAGAGATCACTGCCTTGCTAATTGTCCTCTGACTCCACACATGGGCTGTGGCACATGCACTAAGTGTCCCAAGGTCTCTCACTCTGTATAATGTCTATTCCCATCTGCTGCAGGAGGAAGCTTCTCTGATGATGGCTGAACAAGTCACTGATCTATGACTATAGCAGAATGTCAAGAAAGTCATTTTATTGTTATGTTCTTTTAGTAGAACAGTAGTATTTGCTAATACCCTAGGTCAAATTTTCCCTTCATACTTCAGTTTTTACTATAAATCTCTGAATTTAAAATGGTGGTTCTTTTAGAAATTGGGATAGAAGCTCTAACTTCCAAAAAAGTATAGACTTGTTTCTTTAGCAGGACTGTTGAGTGGGCAATACCTTTTCTGTGTTTTGCATACTACCTGCTGGTGGCTGAGGACTAATGCTCCTTAGCCTGCACTTCTGTTGCTCTGCTCTAAGAACACACATAGCCCGGTGTTTATTATAAATATACTTTTACCAAAATCAAGGATCTGTCCTTCCTTACTTTCTTTCTATAATATTTTACTACTTTACTTTTAGGTATAAGATTCCAAACTGTAGATGAAACAGAAACTGCAGAGCCCACGCTTACAAAATATGGCAGCAGTTTACTTGAAGAAGCCAGAGGAGAAATAAGAAATTTGTATGTATGCATTTTTGTGGACATTTTAGAACTTTGTATATTGATTATGTCTTATTTTGATCCCTCCTTATCCTTTATTGTAAACAAAATTGGAGTATGTATAAATAATTTGCTGTACTAAAATACAACTAATTCTACGAAGTAATAACAGGTATTATATAGCATGTTCTCAGTGGATAGTTTATCTAGCTATACTGATGTCAGGGTGTATGTTCATTTTACCACCAAAGCAATGGTCTGAAGTCCAATCACTTCAAATAATCTCAGCTTTAAAGACATTTTCACTCACATAAACGTAGAGGTCATTTTTTATATACCGACTCTACCCTTTGGGGAGGAGGGAGGCATTGAGAGGAATGGAGAACGTCTTGAATGTTTGGAGGTATCTGATACACCTGGATTTCAACTCTTGCTTTCCTGTGGTTCTGAGAGACATGCATTCTGCATCATGTTATGGTTTCAAAAGAGTTTCTTCTGCCTCATTCATCTTTTTCTTCTGGTTCATCTGTACCTGGTGGTTTCAGGATCTAAGTGTTGCAAATGACTTTAGGCCTTTACCTCAGTCATCAGAACATTGGATAAGGAAGACAGCATTACACTAAGAATATCAACTTTAGAACATTGCTGAAGAATAAGATAATATGGATCTGAAATGTTTTCTTTTGGATGTTTTAAATACCAGTCACACTAGCAGTCAACTTGTAAGAAAATAAAAGCCTAAATATTTTCTTATTCTTTAATAGTCAAGTAAAAAGCCAGGGTTTGTAGCAGTTTCCCAGGACACACTGCACTGGGATGCTGCCAGATTTGGAAGAAATAAATAATGCTGGAGACCCCAGTTATGTTTGACACATTTCATGTTCATTCTATGAAGTGTTAATTGGGTGATATGGCAACTGTGCAAATATAAAAGAACAAGACATATAAATTATGTTGTAGAGTATCCAGTAGGTGGTCAGTACATGCTTAACTGAATTCAACCATAGTCCAGTCCTTTGCCTAGAACGGTATCTTCTAAAAGGCCATCTCTTGAATTGTCCCAGATGTAAATCCCAGTCAGCACACTGAATCTACTGCTATTTCATTATATGTAGAGGTAGTGAAGCCACTTTATTAACTTTTGCTTGCCCTATCATATTATAATAAAGAGATATCTTTGCACTGGCTTTAAATACTACAAACTTCTCAAACTGCAGATTCTTATCAAGATTCTTTATTATAGAGAAAATGTCATTCAGTCACAGAGAGGCCAGATAGAAGAATTAGAGCACTTGGCAGAGATCCTGAAAACTCAGTTGAGGAGAAAAGAAAGCGAAATTGAGCTGTCTCTTCTTCAGCTTCGAGAACAGCAAGCTACAGATCAAAGGTATGTTAAAACTGAAATGTCACTTTGATATGCCCAAAATTATTTTTTAAATAATTTATCATGAATCATAAGATGATAACTCTATTTAAGCAATTTTAAACCCCTATTTCAACTTAATATTTTTTGGGTAGAAATGCTGTAGAGCTACTGAATGTATCAAGTACTCCTGTGAAGAAGAGGTGGTTTTCCCTAACTGTCCATTTGTTTAACCCACTGTCAAGACTTCAGAAATTTGATCCCGCCGGTGGTGGCACACTCCTTTAATCCCAGCACTAGGGAGGCAGAGGCAGGCGAATCTCTGAGAGTTCAAGGCCAGCCTGGTCTCCAGAGCTAGTTCCAGGACTCAAAGCAATATAGAGAAACCCTGTCTTGAGGGAAAAAAGACTTCATAAGTTTACATCATTTGATATCATTTAATTGTAGCTGCTCAGAGAAACATGGGTAACAAGAGCTGAATAGGTGTACTGTGTGTAGAAGTCTAGTCTAAAGGGTTTGTTCAGCCTGTGGTTCCACAATACTTAGCAGTTTGTAACCACAAATTGATGTCATGTCTCCTGTACCTAGTATATGAGCAAACCCGATGATTGTTGTGGTTAATGGTCCACCTTGGCAATAGTTTCTTTGCCATCGTTGTATTTTGGATGTTTTATAAAATAATAGTTTTGCTCACATTGTACTTTGTCAGTTTTTAGTTCTGACCACATTTGTTCATTTGTGTGTTGACATTGTGCTTTATACAAGACTCCTGTTATCCGTATCTCCTCAGTTACCTCCTTTCTCTCTCTCTCTCTCTTCCTCTCTCTCTTTTTGACAAAACTAATGATAGTAGCCTATGGAACCTTCATATGTATATAACTCTGCTTCAACAATTATTACTCTCTTACCAATCTTACTTCATCTAAACTTACTCTTTTGTTTCCTTCATTAGCTACCGCTAGCAACACAGTCACTCATAAATAGTTGAGAATGTATTTCTATGTCCAACAAAATTAATAGTCATTTTTTGGTAGCATCTAACAGCCAGTTTATATTCAGACTTGTCTAAAGATACCTATCTACAGTTCATTTTAGTGTACCCAAAAAAATCTACACATTGCATTTGGTAGTGGTATCCGTTTTTTTTTTTTTTTTTTTTTTTTTTTTTCACATACATCATAATGTTGTTAAAATCAGACTTAGTGACTTGACTTCTATTTCCCCTTTCTGAACTATGTTATACTCTGGTCACATTCCTCTTTTTAAAAACCCAGTAAATTTTTCTAACTTTTTATTTCAGATAGAGTGCTGAAGTATATTTTCTTTAAAAAAAAAAAAAAGAGAGAGAGAGAGGGTTTTTTATTACATTTATTTGTGTGTGTGTGTGTGTGTGTGTGTGTGTGTGTATGCACGTGCACACACACTCATACTTCCATGTGGGAATCCAAGAACAACTTAACAAGAGTCACTAGGAATTCAGCTCAGGCCAGCAGGCAGCTTAGCAGTACGTGCCTTTTCCCCCTGAGCCTTCTCACCAGCTCTAATCCTCTCTCAACAAACTAACCCTGCATGGTAATATATGAAGGATCTATGGAAATACAAGAAATAGACTTGTTTTTTTTTAAGGACTATTTTAATTTTATTTATTTGTATGGGTGTTTCGCCTGCATGTATGTCTGTGCATCATATGTGTGCCTGGTGCCCACCAAGGCCAGAAGAAGGTGTTGGATCTCCAGGAACCAGAGTTACAGGTGGCTGTGAGCTGCTCTAATAGCACTACGAATCAAACCTGAGTGTCCTGGAGGAGCAGACAAGGCTTTTAATTGCTGATCTGTTTCTCTAGCCTCAACTTGGTTCTTTTGTTTGTTTGTTTGTTTGTTTAAATATACTAAAAAATATATGAAAAGCCTTACATCTAAAAGACTAGTATAATTTCTAATTATATTAAAACTATAATATGTGAAACTATATTAGATGAGAAGATCCTAATATCTAGTGAAATTATATAGTATTCTTTTACCATAGCCTAAGGAAAAAAAAATAGTATTTTTGAGAATTATATGTAAGTTAGGGGCATAATTAAAATCCTGGCTTTATATCAATTTGAATTACTAGGCATTAACAATGTTCCCCAGAAAGAACTGTTTTAGACTCAGCCTTCTTAAGAAACAAGGATGGTTCCTAGTAAAGAACAGGGCCAGAGGCCCAGGCCTCATATCTGAGTGTGCTTTATTAGTACTATTACCAACATATATACTTAAGGTATTATTAGAATAGAAAATGCACTGTGTGGCTGGGAACATGGCTCAGTCAATAAAGTGCTCACCATGCAAGCATGAGAATAGTGTCTGGATCCCAAGCACCCATGTAAAAAGCCAGACATGGCAGCATATGCCTGTAGTCCTAAAGATGAGGAGGCAGAGATAAGAGAGTCCCTGGAACTACTAGACTCTGTGGCTAGCCACCAAACCCCAGGTTCAGTGAGAAGCCCTGTCTCAAAAGTTAAGGTGGCATGCAGTTGAGAAAGATGCCAAGCATAGGCTTCTCTGTCCTACCTATTCACACACATACACACCAACCCCAACACACACACACTTTTACTCGGGGCAGATTCAGGCTTGGGATGTGTTCCTGTCAGTTGTTCAGCTGTTAGGTAAAGGTTATCAGGAACTGCTTTCCCTATTACATTCTTCAAGGTGCCAGACATTAAGATGGACTGTGTTAACTGTTCCCTGTTTCAGATGGATGTGATCATCATAGAGCTAGACTTTCAGTGATTGAAGAGGAGCTCCCCAGGCCCTCCAGCCCTAGGATACAGCAGAGCAGAAAGAGGGTGGCAGACAAGACCACATGCTTTTATACTGTGTTGCCAACAAAAGACAGTGTTTACATTGAAATCCAAACCATGGGGGCTAGATTATCCACATAAGGAGAAGCAGTCTCTTTTTATCACATCAACTATTAGAAGCAGGAACAAAATGATGAGCAATGGAAAATTGCTACAGAATCCAAAGAAATAAGCCAGTTAGTTCCTTACCTCAGTGATTTTTTTAAAACTGAAAATCATTATTTCCTTAGAGGGAAGAATACCTTTGTAGGATAGCATATTGTTTCTTGAATACAGTTTTTGAAACTAAAGAAATAAAAGTCTTCAAGGCTTTGAAAAATTATGTTTACTTGTAGTTCAAATTTTTATGTGTAATAGCAATTTTTTGAGGCTAATGGAAAATTATTGAAAAACTTGGGGTAAAATGTAAAATTTGGTGTAATTTACTGTAGAGAGAAATAACAAAATGAAAAACATATTTGAACTTCTCTTCCACTGGTACATTATTTCAGATTTGAAATTCTAGAAGTCTGATCTAGATGTTGGACCCCTTGTTCTCAAGCATGAACCTAACGTAGCTGTAATCTGCAGAGTGGCGGCACTTGATATTTATGGCAAAGAGCCTTTCATAGAACAGTACAGAAACTCTCCATAGTATGTGTTTAATAGACCAGTTTGGTTTGGCATCAGCTTGACATAAACTTTTGGTTATCCAAAGCCCTTAATTGCTTTGAAGTAAAATCCCAGTGCTGCTCTTTTTTATTAAAGTCATGTTTTTTCCTGTTGTTGTGGTCTATTTTGGAAGACTGAGTTGTGATTTTTGCATATGTTCTACATAATGCCTCATTAGCAAAAAATCTTGTATCATTTACAAGTAGCCTGAATGTCTGTTGTTTTGAACAAAAATCCATATTAAAATTTAAACAATATAAAAATGCACATTTTCTGCTTATTAAAAAGGCTGTCTTAAATTAAATGCAAAGCAGTAACCAGTGAACATATGTATGTGAACATTAAAATCAGAAGTTTTACCTTTTATTTACTTTTTCAACTTCAAAAATATTTATACCCTTAGCCAATGTGTAACCAGTTTGTACTTTTCTTTAAAAATAAATATTAGGGTACTATTTATCTTCTTAATTAAAAATCATGTAAGTGCCATTATGTCCCAAGGGAGGAAATGTAGCTCATATATGTTTCAGACTCTGACTTGCCCTGTTCCCTTTGGCAGACAGCAGACTGTCAAATCTTAAAGCTAAGAGGTTCTTTGCAGCCATGCATTATAAGAAACAGCTTGGCCTCTGGGCCTCTCTCTTCCCTGGGCAGAGACAGGATTACTTCCTAGCACTCTAAATTCTCCCCAGCATTTTGACTTGGTAAAGCAGTAAACCTACAGAAAAAACAGAGCAGCCTGGTGAGCGCTTGTCTTCTACCTTAGCTTGTCTAAGTTTGGTACAGGAGCCTGTTTCTACACTTTGCTACTGCACAAACCCTTCTCCTTCCATCCCTTCTTCTTTCTCCCTTCCCTCTCCTTCCTCCCTAATTCCTTTCCTATTTCCTCTTTACCAACCTCTGTCCCCTCCTTTCATCCACTTTTCCTCTCCTACCTTCCCTCAGTTCCTCCATTTCTCATTTGAAAGGTGCTTTTGTTACATTACCCAATGTATATCTTCCTACATAAGTTATTCAGAACCTTTAATGAACAGCACAGTAGCATCATTTAATACTCATTCCAAGTCCATATCTATTTTCCCCAGTTGTTCTAACATCTTTATAGCTTTTGTTTTTAAGTATAGATTTTATTTTGTTTTGTTTTCATCTAGGATGCAACTGAGGATTGTGTATTCAATGCCACATCATTTAAGTTTCCTTTAGTCTAGAATAGTCCCTGCTCTTTTCCAGTCCAGTGACAACTATTTGCAGAATACCTCTCCATTTGAATTTGCCTGATTGCCCAGTCCCCTGATTTAGAGGGCACATCTGGTTCTCTGATGGAAGGACAATGGGGGGGCCTGGGAGATCCATGTACACAGTATTATACAGAAAGATGATATGTCATTTTAAAATACCTTCAGGTTCCCCTGTTGTTTTGAATAAGTTAGGATGTGTCCAGTGACAAATATCATACCCAAATACCATTTTCTTTTGGCCCTGTGTTTTATATTATTAATACTATCTAAGATTTTTCTGGATAGCAGCTTAACACATTTTCCAGTGCTCATGGAAATTGTTGCACATATAACTAGTGAATTAATGCACATATGATATATGGCAGTGCAGGGAAAATGAAAACTTAGGGAGGACTATTTTAAAAGGAGAAAGTAGCTTAAAAGAATGACAAAAAATTAGTTTTTAAAACTAGATTTGACTGTTGACTCAATCACTTAAGCACTTTGTTCAAATTCTTTATTTCTCTAATAAATGAATAAAGAAAAGAGTAAGTGGTTCCCTACTGTGTAAACAAGTCATTTATTCCCAAGACCTTCTATATTTAAAAGATTTGCCTACCCAATAATTTCCCTAACTTTCTAATTTTTTCATTTTATTGTCATAAGAACCTCCATCATTTATTTCATTCTTTCTGATAATAGTGAGATAACATGTTCTTGTATTGGGTTAGAATAATTATGTAAAACTGAATTTAAAAATTACAAAATTTCAGTTTACTTTTGTAATGTTAATAGCCCGTAAAAGTACATTTTCCATTAGGCTTTTAGAAATGATGGCTAAAAAGTCCCAGATTGCCATGGCTGTTGCAATAAACCTCTGATTGAAATCTAGTAAACTTGATCCTAAACATGGCCATCTCTAGAAGGTGAGCCAAGATTTAGGTTACTCTTGCCCCAGACCAGTTCTGAGAATCCCTCTTTTGCTTGTGTGGGTATGAGTACATACATACAAAAAAACTTGTCAGCTCTATCCCATCTATTCCTCTGTTTGCTGACAGTAAGAAAGTACTGGAGTGGTGGCTTGTTCTTTGTCCCAACACCAAGAGAATTATGCTGTATTAGCAAATTCAACTTACATAGTCACATGTTCCTTTATGCAGTCTTAAGTCAGGGGATCGTCTGTACCCATGACAACAAGTAGCAATTTTGAGCAAAACCATTACCCTTTATGTCTATTCTTGACAACTTTTTAGGGAAGGTTGCTTCTGTAACCCTGTTCAAAACATCTTTCATAGTGTTTTGTTTTGTTGTTCCCGGTTATCAGTGACCCACATTTCTTTCAACAATATGATAATCAAGTTTCTACTTCTGTTTAGAAAGAATATTAAAACTTTTTTTTTTAAACTCTGATTGCTTTAGCTTGGACTCAGCCAGCCAAAAACTATTGCTGACAGTGATCCTTTCCATTCTGTTTCATAAACATTTGACCTCACTGCTTCCCAGAACTTCACAGCATAGCTTCTGTGTGATGGAGTTTCTCCCATTCTCTGTAGCTGTTCATAATCTTTACTGTAGCGAGGAATGAAATGCTAGTAGGTAAAGTAGGGAGGCAAGTGTCTGGGGAATGCAATATATGAAACTCCAACTGTAGCGATGATTTCTGTTTCTTAACCCTTCCTATTAGACTATACATCACATAGCTCCACTGAAGGTTCTCTTTCTCCAGTGTAGCTGAGGTTTTAAGTTTCTGGATTTATTATGGCGCCCAGTAGCAAAGCTGGAGTCAAGTGTTTTCAAGGCTCCCATTCGAAAAGAGTTTATTGCTTGGCTGTTTCAAATTATACAAGAGAAAGTTGGCACACAGGTTGTTGAGCTGGGTTACTTTTTTTCAACATAAAGTCTAATTTATTTCAGCTTGTTTTTAATCTAGTGAGGAGCCAACAACTTTTCTCATACTTTTAGAAGATCCGATCATAATTCTAAATCTTATCTATGAAAAGAGAAAGCAAAAAAGAAAAGTAAGGTTACTGCATTCTCCAACTTTTTATAGCTTTTCAGAATCCTTGTTGAAATTTTGAGAAATGTACTTTTACAATGCATTTAATTAGAGCTCTTGATATCTCTCTGTAAGTTATTTTACCATACATGTTGCAGCTTATACAAATAGTTGCACAACTATCAGAGTCCACCTGAAGGTTGTGCTGGGCATAGTTCCTTTGCTAGAATATCACCATCCTGAAGACTTGGTTCTACACATGTAAAAAGAGACAGTGTTACTATGTAGAGGTCTCGGAAAACATTGCTGATGCTTTACTCCTACATCTCTTCCTCCAAGGAAGCCAACCGTAGGTTTTATTCACAGGCAACTAGGTCTGGGACTGGCTGCTTAGTGATGCCTGTTGCTCCCTCTCACTTCTAACATCCTTAGCAGGCTTTTGTGACATTTCTTTTCCATCCTGTCACCTCCACCCTTACTCTTTGTCCCAAAGTTCATCTATGAGAAAATGCTGAGTTGTTTATTGGGTCTGAGGTGATTTGGCTGTACATCATGAACACATGCCACAGGTATCATGGTGCTAATTTTAATGTGGGTGTACTTTATACCTCTGACCAATATTTGTGACACATTATCATCTTCAGATTATTGTAGTCAGGAAATATGTAGTCAGAGTAATCAGATTACTTGCTACCTGCAAAGCCCTCACATGGAGGGTTTTGCGTTGTCTAGGCTAGCTGTGGTAAACTGACTTTGTACTTAAAATGCTTATTATTGCTGTTTTCATATACAGTTGTATTCATGACTAGCATTGGGCATCATTAGTATAAAATGCTCTGCCTCTTTTCTTACCAATATTTTGGAGTCCATACCCCAAGGCACTCAGGGCAATGCTCAGCAGAACTCTTTTAGCCAAAATACTACAGTGTTTAAAACACTTGCTGTTTTTTGCAATACAAGGAAAATTCAGCACCAGATTTCATGATGCTATATGACTGAAGTGATTGTTGAGACCTTTAATTGCTTGTTATTAACATGAAACTACACTTAATTTTAAAATACATTTGATTCTTCTTGGTAATTTTGTTTTAAAACAAAATATCAGAGTCATTACCTAGATTTGATCTTAACGCCTTCCCTCCCCTAGTCAAAAGAGCGAAAGCTGTGAAAGGATCTGGAGAGACGGTTCAGCAGTTAAGAGCACTGGCTGTTCTTCCAGAGGACCTGGGTTCCAGTCCCAGGACCCACACTGCAGCTCAACTATCTGAAACTCCAGTCCCAGGGTATCTGGTGCCTTCTGCCCTCTGGGGGCACCAGGCACACACCTGGTGCACAGATGTACATACAGCCAAAACACCAATAATACAAGATTTTAAAGAAGACTAAGACAACAGAAAATATAACATAGAATTTATTTTTTTGAGTCACATTCTGCATCAGTAAATGCTACACATTATTGAATGGTTAAACCAGTAATTCTGGGGAAAATAAGTAAATTGTATTTTGATTTCACGTGTTTTTTCATATTTCAAGTGAAAACAAGTTTGAATCTTTTCTTTGTTCTTTATTTAAAATATGAATATATTTTATGTATTAAATACATTTTTTCATATTGTATTTTGTGAAAAAAATGTAACAACAAGGAAAATAGCAATAAGCACACTGTTGAATCTGTGCTCAGAACTGCTAGATAACTTGTTTTAGACACATAATTATTTTAACATTGTGTTAAGACTGTGCCCTGGGAAAGATCCAGGTTCTTGGACTTGTTTATCTTCTGTGTGAGGACAACTAACTGTGCAATGCCAAAATACAATGAACTTTCAAATATCAAAGAGGAAAACTGAGTATTTCAAGTCCTCAGCTGGTTTACAGATGTGTGAGCTTTGTAGTGCATTTGCTGGTTCCACTGGGCCTGTGACAATGTTTCCAATATGTGAATACTAGGTAAGCCTTAGAAGTCAAATCACTTAGTTTAAATGCTGAAATAATTTTCTGAATTCAAATTTTTTACCTTTATATTTTTTAAAGTGAAGTCTTAAAATCAAGGCTTCACAATTTTAAAAAGTTTAAATGAGGCATTAAATTAAGGAACCTTTTTTCTGTCAGGAAAATAAATGCCTTTTGAGAACAGGTATTCATTTAGATTTGTGATTAACCTTTAACAAGATCTTCCTGTTAAATTCTACATTTGCTTTAATCTCAGTAGGAAAAATACAAAATAGTATTGCAGCATATAAGGTTTCTATATACCCTGTGGACATCAATAATCTCTTTCAGCTAAAGGCACATCTGCAACATATTTAAATGCCAGCTTTGGGCATTATTAGTATAAAATGCTAAGTCATTTTTTTGGAAATATTTTGAAAAGTTGAAACTCCAAGAGGAAACTCCAATAAATGATAATCTTGTGATACTGTGTGTGTGGAGGGCGTGGTAGGGAGAAGTTTGGCAGCACTGCCTCATCTGCACTTAGGGAGCATAGTGTGGCAGTCCTTTATGGAAGTATAGGGTTTGCTGGTAGACACTGCTGACTGAAAACTGATGGTTTCGTGCAGTCTTTCAGAGCATCCGAAAATAGCTTTAGTCTGTACTATCAGTATGACGGAGCTAACATTGCCATCGAGTTTAGAAACTCCCTTCAAATTCAAATACACATTCCAGAATGGATAGTGACTGGTTTTAAATATATAAATTTAATATAAAATTTTAGACAAGTAAATCAGCCATAAAATTGTGTGTGTGTGTGTGTGTGTGTGTGTGTGTGTTTTGTTTTCCTTTTACTTATATTATTAACTTGTATTTTTTTTTCTTTTTCTCAAACACAACTTTGAAGGTCAAATATTCGGGACAATGTAGAAATGATTAAGCTTCATAAACAACTAGTGGAGAAAAGCAATGCTCTTTCAGTCATAGAGGGAAAATTTATTCAGCTTCAAGAGGTACTGTGATTTTTTTATTTTATTCACAGATGAAAAGGATTTAAAATAGTATTCAAGTTGTACTTTAATAATGGTTATAACACTAAATCTTTATTTTAATATTTGCTTTATTAAGTGTGTGTGATTTCTCTTGTGTATTGTTCATAACAGTTACCAAATAACCACTTAGGCTTTTTATAAATAACTAAGTAATTTTAACAAGTGCATCTGTGCCATGGAACATTTTTTTTTTCATGTCCTTTCTGCTGAGCTTATATAACAAGCCTGCAGTACTGAAGATGTCTCTGTGCTTGCATACATATTCACTTTCACATGTGTGCAGTAAAGACTAGTGTTACAAACTGGTCAGTAATTACATTCTATTAAATTTTTCTTTGATGTAATTTTGTTTCATTGTGTGTTTCTTTGGTCACCACCAGTGTCAGAAAATATTTGAATACCCATGATCGGCTGTCAGTATATTTATCTTAAACCTTGACAATTCAGTCTGACGTATTTAGGCTTTTCCCCATCCTCGGGATGGTTTTCAAGTGACTGTGGGTACACAGGAATATGCTCTCACAGAGCTACTATTTATTGGCATTGCATAATTAACAAAAGTCCTGGAATTAATGAACTCCAAAACATTCCAGATGATCAGAATCTATATTAAGTCATGCTTTCTTTGAAGTCCAGAGACAAGGAAAGCTGTGCATTGATGTAAAGTACAGGGTCATATGACGCCTGCTTCGCTATTGAAGTAAGTAGTTAAATACCTTTCAGACATAACCCGAGAGATATCTTCCAAGCTACAGGAACCTCCTGTAATGCCAAGTTTGACCACTACCCATATAAAAGCACAGATTTGTAGGAGAGGAAGCTGCTTTATGAATGGTAGTGTTACCTCTACCAGAGTGTAGATAGGTCCCTTTAGACTAAAAATACATGTGGGAGAAAGCAGTTTCAAAAATGAGGATAAAGAGAGGAACTGAAAAATGAGTGTATGTTCTCTTCTTTGACTATTTTGATTCCCATGTAACAGTGACCCCTGGTGTATTTGTTCAGATAACAAAGTATAAGTGCCTGCTACAGGACAGGTACATCTTTTGAGAAATAGTGTAGGGAATAGGCTTGAGAGGCTGGGACCAACAGCCTTGATGAAGTGGGGCACTCATAGGAAATGCTGTAATAGTACAGCAGTAATGAAAACTAATCTGACATTTTCTAATCTGTCTTAAAGGCCAGATTTCTTTTAGGTGTGCAAAGAAAGCTTTCACTAGGACTTACACAGGGGAGGTATTTCATGTTGTAGTCAAATGGGGTCTACACAAGTCCTTGTTATAATTAATAACCTATTTATATTTACTTTTAAAAATATGGCATTTAAGTATGTAAAATTGAATGTAAATCATGTTCACATATAATTTTTTATAACTTAAAGGTTTATAAATACTTTTGCAGAATTAAAAAAACTTATTTGTATTAAAATTCAAAGCTAACCATTCAAAATTGTTTATTTATGGTCTGATGGCAACTCCTTACAGTTTCTGTGTCAGTGACCATTGTTTTTTGACCCATGCTGAAGCACTTTTAGCCAGCATGTCCAACAACTGTAGCCATAGTAAAAAGGGGGAGAATTAATTGCTAAAACTAGTTTACACCAGTCGCTGTCAACACGTCAAAGCCTGGAGACAAACAAACAAAGGGGAGACGGTTTATGTTGTGTGAGTGCTAAGTGGCCCTCTTTTTTCCTTGTATCACATGTACAATGTTTATGACTTGAAAAATAAACTGCAATGTAAACATCCAGGATCAAGCCACAGATAGACATGCCATTAGTTATTCAGAGTATAATGTTTTAAAAGGTTAAAGTTTTCTCCCTTTGTTTTGTAGAAGCAGAGAGCGCTCAGAATCAGCCATGATGCCTTGATGGCAAATGGAGATGAGCTAAGTGTGCAGCTGAAAGAGCAGCGCTTGAAGTGTTGCAGCCTTGAGAAGCAGTTACATGCCGCGAGGTTTTCAGAGCGAAGAGTGGAGGAGGTGAGCTCCCAGACAGTGTACTCATTCGCTGCCCAGCAATTCTTCTGCAGCTGTTTTTGAAAAGCAAAAGAGAAACAGTGCAAAAATTGAATTTATGTCAAAATCCTGAACTACGTATTTGGTATTTTGAATGCAGTGGAGTAGAGTGGGTAGTACAGAATATGAGTGGCAAACTGATACTTTAAAATGCCCACAAATGTGTTGTTCTAGGATTAAAGAGCCCGGAGCAAAACAAAAAGGTAATATCACATGACCTAAAGAACGGGACTTCCCTAAATACGACTTCTTAATCATTGAGACACAAGAACAAAATTAAAGGAATGACGTATTCCTGAGGGGGATGTTATGCTCTACGGTGTCAGCAATTTTGTAAATTATCTTCTTTCTGGGAAGATGTTTGCAAACTTACCCTTCCATTATTGTTGCTGCTCATCTCTCCCAATTAGCACACTGTGTTTTCTGTGTTCTGTTAAATTTACTCCTAAGGAGAACAGAAATGGAATAGGTGTTTACATTCTGTCCTGAAACCAGGAGAATGTTAACAACAGAGATGACTTTTAAGTTCTCTGCTCTATAGCAAAAAAAAAAGTTACTACAGAGTATATTTATTAATGAAACTTTAAACACTATAGTATAGCAATCCATAATGCTCTAATAATTATGTATACTTCTAAAAATATTATTCATTAGGATAAAATAAGGAACAGAGTTTATTCTTATAATGGGCTTCCATTTATAAATTGTGTCTTTAAATTAAATAGTGAACAATAAAGTTGTCTGAACCATGAACTCAAAGAACAGTTAGTACTCATTTTTTATGGGCCAATTGGAAATTAATACAAAATGAATATAGTGTTGGAATTCATCATGGTAGAAAGTAAAAACTATTATGTTTCCAGGGACTTAAGAGAAAGCTCTTAACACATTCTTTATTGAGTTCTGGCTCATGTTGTCATAAAGTAGTGTATCCGTTTCTACTAAATTAAAGCGGGAATATTAATTTCATGTTTATTTAATGACATGGAAGAAATCAACACTGAATTGAATGCAGGCACTGCATGTTGTCTAGCCAGCAGCTGCAGTATAGGACTCTACACTAAGCAAGTGGCTATCCCCTTCTGGTTTTCTTACCGTGGTTTGATATGATAATCACTGATTGTATAACTTTGTTTTCAGAGTCTAGAGTGCTAACCCTGATCCATGGAAACTCTTTGTAATTTTATTTTCATTTTAGCTGCAGGATAGAATTAATGATTTAGAAAAGGAGCGAGAACTTTTAAAGGAAAACTATGATAAACTTTATAACAGGTAAATCACAATTCTCTGTTTCATTCTTGTTGGGCTGTTTTTAATCAAAGCATTTATTATCAAAATATCTAATATTGATTTAAAAACTAGCAATGGGTCATGGCAAGACATATACTTACTTTGCAAAAGGAAAATAAGCTTTTTAAAGGCATTGGTAACTGGTTTTTAACTGAGCTGTAATATATCATACGTGGAGAATCAGGTTGTTTTGTTGCGAGTAACAAGCACTGTCACTTGTTGAATACAAGCTAAACCCTGTAGATGCCACGCAGGATGGTCTGCATCCATTCCTATCAATTCCTTGGAACACTCTAGATTGAAGGGTTCTACATGCTCAGGTTCTGAACTACTGTACCTTCTACAGATACTATATGCTCTTGAAGAATGGTATAGTCAGGAGACCTGAGAAATTCTTGGAGTCTTGCTTGGGTCTCTCTACTGGGCTTTCCAGCATCTTACAGATTGAATATGGTGGGAAAGGGGTTCACTTGCAATATCTGTGCTCCTTATAAAGAAAAACTTGAGCATCTCAGCCTCAGCTCGAGATGAATTTTGAAGAACTACTTCACTTTTGGTTCTTAATAAGTTTCGTAGTTACAGTATTTTAGAAAAACAATCCTTTCTGATAATATTTAAAGCAAAATTTCACTCCATGGCTAAATCTTGTTAAATGATTCTGATTTGTCTATTGATATGCATCTGTATAATCGTTAACATCTCTTCAGTATGTGTGATAACAAATGTGGGGTGACATGGAAGCATATTTACCATGTTTTTAAATATGTTTTATTTGATACTCAACCATTGCTTCATATTGCTAATATACTGAAACCATAGAAAATAGTATCTGTGCTTAAAAAAAAACACTTTAACCTTTCAATTGAATGTTTTGCAAATTAATATACATTTTAAATTTTAAATGTTTAGTTCTGACAGAGTGTGTGGGGAATTTTATTTTGCCTACTTGGAAACATGACCTAAGTCCGTATTAGGCATTATTCTAATGCTTTCTATCTTTTTTTTTTTTTCCTGTCTCATAAGAGTTAGCAACAGTATGTCACCAGTTAAATATTCAGGGTCCTCTGGCAGGAGCATAGCTAAACATCTTTATGTAGAATTGCATAAAACCTCTTTCTAGACCATTTTGTACTGGTCCCTTTTTAATTAATCTATTACACCTACTGGTTTATACGTCCTTCTCTAAGGAATTGTGTGTATATTTACATTGATGTATCTGTATACTTTATGATCGTATATTTGAAATTTCAGGTGTTATACAGATTGTGCAGTGCCATATTGTGGAGAGAGATGATATCCCTGTATTTTATAAAGGAGGTAACTGAGAAGCCAGATGAACAAACATGGCATGGCTGGCATACCCAATTCTTTTTACTCTAAAACTAGATCCTCCCCCCCTTCCGCCCCGTCCAGTGCACCATTGTCCCTGATTTTAATTGCATTGGAAAATTATCTGCATGAGAAGGAAGCATCCATGAAATAATGGATCTGTCATACATGCAGGGATTTTGATTGATTTACCTTGAACATTTTGTAACTCTAAATAATTTAATGTGGTTTAAATACAAAAGGTGCCATTTGGCCATTACTTCTAAATTTCTACTTCTCTCCAACTTGAGAATTTACTGAACACATATTCCCGGAATAAAAAACATCAGACTTATCTGGGAATAATACATAAATGGAATTTTGACAAGGCATATTTTTGTCATATTTACTTAATCACTATAAAACTTTATCTTTCCATAGTAGAAGATGATCTAAGAGTGTAAATCTGGCTTTAAAGGTTTTGGTTTTTTTTTTTTTTTTTTTTTTAATGTTTTGAGCTTGAACTACATTTTTTTTTCCTCGTCAAACTAAAAACGGCTTCATCGTGCTGATTACATGTAAATATTATATGAGGTTTATGGAAGTAAATTACTATAATGAGCATTAAAACAATGTCAAAAATCACTAACACTTAAGCCTAAAGTCCAATATGTACATGTAATCATAAGTAGAACATCAAAATTTTCTGATGGAGTTTTTAAAGATGCTTGTGAAAGCATAGAAGAACTGCAAGCATCACCATTGTCTGTAGGTTCTTACAGCTCTTTTCTCTTATTACACTCTTAATCATCATTGCTGAAATTAATGTTAATCAGAAACTATGCATGCTACTTGTTTGCTTAGTCATAATGGTAGCATGCTTTAAAAAAGAGAGCATGTGTTTGTTATTCAAAGTTGGCTGTTTTTCAGGAGAAAAAGATAATTTGCAGACTGCATTCTCATCTTCCTTTTTTAAATGAAATTTTGAATGTGTTTATTACTTGACATGTGACATATTAGAGAATCATATGGTAAGATAAAACCCTCATGTTAGTACTTGCTATATATATAACTTCTTTAATATGCTAAATATTTTTGATATAATGCCAAGAAATAAGAACTTTAAGAAATGCTCTGTTTTAAGATTCAGAATAATTTTTTGCAATTAAATCTTCCTGTTCAGTGAGAGAGAAACTTTATGCGATGATTGGTAAGGCTGTGTTCCATTGCTGAAATTAGTGGTTTGGGTACCAGGGAGCTAGTGAATACAGTAGGCCTTAAAGTACAGTATGTACATATAACCTGAGGAGGTTATCTGTATGGAATCCAGGTTCCACCACACTTCCTGAGCCTCTCCTACTGAACACACACACACACACACTTGTGTACACAAAGCGCTACTACCACCATCCACTGCCAAGTTTTCATCTTAATATTGGGTCCAGGATTCCTGTTGAAAGTGACTTTAAGCTGCTAATTTTTCAGAGATGTTGATCTAATGGTTGTTTGTTTATTTTTTTTAAGTCCATTTAGAGTATGACTGTTATGGTGACCTTTCAAGAACTAAACAGATAAGTTTTTATGCTGGAACAGCTGGGACACTGCTCAGAATTTGAAAATAGTCACTGCTCATTTCTCAACATGAGCTCTGATTGTCTGCAGACATCTTGGGAAAAGTACTTGTGGGTTTCTTCATGAAAGTGGGGATGATTCTCCATCATTTCTTACATGAGGAAGTCCTGAAATGTTGGGGCGATGAAGGTTTTCTGTAAGAAAAAAAAGACCCAAGGATAGAGAGGAATTTTTGACCTTTATTTTGATTGTATCATGTTTTAACCAAGGGTTTGTATTAACAGTATACTTGAGACCCAAGGCAGCCAGTGGGCATGCTAGTGAGCACAGGCACCAACAGTCCTGCTGCCGGCTGTCACCGAACATACCAGTGCAATGGGTACAGAGACAGAGACGGTCATCCTCCGTTTACTGCCACTGTTGGTATAGAAGGAAAAAAACATTTTCATGAATAAAGAGTTCTTAAACACTCTTCTCATATGCAGATTTAATCATGTATATGGCCCTTACAGAGAAAATGGAGCCAGATGTGGTTCACCATTTATAGCTACACAGATGGCTCCAAGCATAGAGGAATATAGTAAATTCAAAGGAATTCCTCATGAAACTCCAGTGGAATGCAGTCCTAAATTTAGAGGGAAGATAGCAGTGGGCTAAATTCAGATTGACTTATACTGATTTACACTAGTATTTTGTGGGTTTGGAGAAACCAGGCTGCTAAATTGTTCTTAATTTAAACACACACAGCTTCTGATGTTCCTGCCAGACTAGCTGCTGGTGATCTTGTGCTGGGCACACACTATTGGAACACTACTGTTTCTAATTGCTGGCATCTCAGGGAATGTATAGATGTGCCTATTTCATCATGCTAAGTTTTTTTTCCCCCGGTGGTGCATGTTTTTAATGATAGAGGGTGTGTGTGCGCGCGCGCGCGCACACACACACACACACATACATAATCATGCATATGTATTAATTTGGCTAGACACAGAAATTATATACATCCTTCATTTTTAAGTGAATTTGTAAAGGAATATTCTTTAGTATTTAAAGTTTATGTGTGTTATTTAGATTTGATTTAAGTCTAGGTAATTCTACCTTTGACAAAAATTAGCTTAAGATTCTGGCATATCGGTTGCATGGTTTTATTTTTTTGAGGACCCCTATATGAAATGAGAACACTGATAGAGAAAAACAGATGTCATCTTTTCTAGAATGCCATTTATTTTCAAGGAGATATTATTTTAAATGCAATTCAAATATTCAAAATGTAAAATGAATACAGGTTTTGTTTTGTTTTTAAGCTGAGCTTTCTTCAAAAAGTATCTCTTTTGGAATAAAACCTCAGGACTAGTACGGAGCAACATTAAGGTCAATTTTCAATAGTACATTTCTTTTCCATTTACTTCACCTTCAGTATGAAAACAGACTTTATAGTTTTTTTTGTTTTGTTTCATTTACTGAGTTTAAAATAAGTAAAGGGGTCAAAGCTGTGGGTGATTACTCAGTCAAGTCAAGCTTTACAGATAATGGTTTTCTGCTGAGGTGCAGATCAAGATCAGTTTTCCCAAAGTCTGGCTATCACCTGGGAAGCTACAGAAACATGAGTTGCCAGGCCATTCTTTTTGAAATGTCACTGAGTGTCAGTGACGAGAGCTGCAGGAGCACCATTGTCGACCATGTTCAGGACCCACTGGATAAATGGTTGATTTGTCCCTCTGTGTAGCACCTAGTCATTCCTGTTTTATACTTCTAGTATACTATACCTTGGACGCTAGCAGATTTAAAACCTAACTGAAACTACTTTGGGCTGCAGATGTAACTCAGTGGATAGAGAGTTTGCACAAAGCCCCAGCATCACATAAACCAGGTGTGGGGGTGCACACCTGGAGATTCAACCCTGGAGAGATAGAAGCCAGAGGTCACAAGTTCAAAGTTATCTTCAGCTACATAGGGAGTTCAAGGCCTGAGACCCTGTCTCCAAGAAAGAAAGGAGGGGGTGGGGGAGAGGGGGAGGAGAAAGAAAGGAAGGACAAAAGAAAGAAGAAAGAGCGCTACATGTTTTATTAAGGGATAAATTATAATTCTGTCTTAGTAATCTTTTTAGATTAGAAGCATTCTATTTATTTATTTATTTATTTAGGGGTTTTTTTCTATTTCCAGTGTGTTAGTATGTAATGTTTAACCTTTTTTTTTTTTTACATTTTTATAATTTTTATTTAATTTTTTTCTTATTTTACTTATTGATCCCAGTTCCCTCTATCTCCCGTCCTCCCATGCCCACCACAGATCCCCCAATTTCATCCCCCATCTACTCCCCAAGAAAGATGTTACGAGTAGATTTTTCCTGCCAGTCTTGTCCCACCACCACACCAGCCCCCAATAATACACTGAGATTTTGTATTAGATATAAAACTGTAGGCCCATTATTAACCCATTTCTATTAATCTAAGTCTTATCTTACCGGAGAGAAGGGCTGGCATTCTTCTCTCTATCCTCCATCTTGGATCTCCTCCCTCCTACTTCCTCTCTCCTCCTTGTCTCCTAGTCCAGCCTATCTTCCTTTCCTATTGGCCAACAGTGCTTTATTCATTAACCAATAAGAGAAACATATTTACAGAATGAAATTTCCCATCATCTTCTCTTTTCTGTCTAAAATAAAAAGAAGGATTTTAACCTTACCATAGCAAAATGTATAACGAAACAGTTATCAAATAAGAACCACAGTTAACAATATTTAGTCCATTAACATTTAGCAAGATTTAAAGAAAATATTTCGTCATCTATCCTATCTTTGTGAGTCTGAAGTCCTATATGTAATTTATGTTTAATCCTAACTAAAGAAAACTATAACCATAGCTATCTGTCTTCAACTCCTTCAAAGACCACAGAAAGATAATATATAAACTCTAGAAATGACAGAGACAACTCACTGCCTGGTCAGTCAACTGAAGTTATTCTGTAATCTTCATCTTCAGCCCATAGGCCATACTGTGTCTGGCAGACTCCTCAGCAAAGCAGGAAACTTTAAACTGTCCATCTGTATTGGCAGTTTGTCAGTCATTTTTCTCTGTGTCCTGCAGACTGTCTGCTGTTAAAGGCTAGGCTCAATACCAAAAACATATTTTGGTTTTTTAAGACAGCATTCCTCTATATTGCTTTGAAGCCTGTCCTGGAACCTGCTCTGTAGACAAGGCTGGCCTTGAACTCATAGAGATCTACCTGCCTCTGCCTCCCCAGTGCTAGGATTAAAGGCTTTTGTTTTTAGGGTAAAACTGCCTTTGCACTACTTCTTGGTATCAGAGTTGCCACATTGTGCTTCAGTATACCATCATTTATGTCTGTGTTATCACAGACTCTCAGTTTCCTCAGAATTCACAATCAGGTGGAAATGCTTTTTCTCAGTCTTGAGTGAGTGAACTTGCAGGAGGAGGGGGGCAGTCCTGCCTGTCATTTCTGAGGTTTGGAACCGTGGATTCCTCTGGAGTATGTACAGTATCTGAATTCCTTTACTAGTCCACAAAAGCTGCATGTTGCCAACTTTTCTGACTTTGGAGCTCTAAATTAAGGCCAGTTCCTTTGCTCATCCCACAAACTCTTTCATGTTCACTAACCACAGCCTGAGCAAGGCGCCTCGGTTTCAACAGCAGCAGACCAGCATCTGTTTACTTAATTCCTAAGACATGATGACAGTGGTCTCTGTGCCACTAAAAGCTTTCTCTCATTATTTTCGGGTGAAGCTGATTTCCCAGCTCTCCTTGCATGTCACGTGTGTTTTGCAGTGCCTTCAGTGCTACCCTTGAAGAACAGTGGAAGTTAAAGGAGCAGCAGATGAAAGTGCAGATTGCACAGCTCGAAACTGCCCTAAAATCTGATCTAACGGACAAAACCGAAGTCCTTGACAAATTAAAGACTGAAAGAGGTACATGGAAATAACCATAGAAATAACCACCCGTTTACTTCTGCAGACATCTGATGCTTATTTTCTGAGTCAGTCAGTTCTTGTTTGCCTAGTGTTTGCCAATCATCCTGCTGTCCTCTGGGGACACAGCTTATATCAGTGTGTGTGTGTGTGTGTGTGTGTGTGTGTGTGTGTGTGTGTGTGTGTGTTATACTTATATATATTATATACATATATAATACATAGGTGTATGTTCACATGTGTGTGTTTATTATAAATGTATAATACATAGGAGTGTGTGTGCCAAAAGAACTGTTTTTTTTTCCTCAGACACTTTTATCCAGGTTGTCTCTCATTAGTTTAATATCCCTAAATTCTGAACTTTTCTTTATTTGACAGAAAACAAATATTTATTGAGCACTAGTTTGTTCTCAGCATTGTTCTAAGATTGAGGATACAGCAAATAAGACAGTGGCAGCCTCATGAGACATGGCAGCCAACAATAGTTAGAGAATTTTAATGGTTCAGGTAGTGGCAGATGCCTTGGGAGAAACCCAAAGCAGAGACAAGTGAAAGAAATAGCCTCTTGCTATTGGTTTTGATTGATCAACCTAAAGAATCTACTAGTGAGATGTCTGTTCTCTTAACCAAGACACTATCAGAATGTCCCTGTCAAAATAATAATCATTAAGCATAATCATATTAGGTCTTGTCTCATAGAAATAAAACATAATTAAAGATGTCTGGACTGCTGTATTACACACAGACATATGCACACCCAGGGCACACAGATGCACAATAGAGGTGACAGATTTTTTTACTAAAGTGTGGTACCTGTGTGTGCACCCATGAGATACACCCAGGAATGTAGTAATAAGGTTGCTCCTTAGGAACATCTGCAATTCAGTTACATGAGAATTTTAAAAGTATAGCACAGCCAGGCATGGATGCCTGTAATCATAGCACTCAGGAGATAGGACAATTGCAAATTCCAAACCCTCGTGAGCTACATAGTAAGACCCTGTGTCAACAACTAATAACAACAACAACAAAGGTTAATACAGAATCAGTAAGAAAAATATATTTTTAGTTAGTACTCTTACTACAGTGTCACATTTTATTGACTAAATGGAACATAATTTTTCATGTTTAATAGTCCCAAAATTAAAGTGCATACATAAGCAATAACAACTTAAAACTGGCTAGCCATGTTTTGTTTTGTTTTGTTTTTCTTTTTACATTTCAACACACCTGAAATAGCAGCAGGTAGTCATGGAGTCTTTATTCCAGTGAAGCACCAAGTGACCAAATGGCTACTTTTGAGTCTTTCTAAAGGACAGTAGATGGAATTAATTGGTGGCATGACTTCTTAGTGGGTTCTGATTTTAATATCACTATTGAGAGCTTACTGGAGTGCCTTGGCTTAGTTGCTCAGTAAATAACTTGAAGTTGAAGTGCTCTATTGCTCCCACTCCATTTTCCAAAAATGGATAAATTGCACTTCTTAAATGACGAGGGAAAAGGGGCAGCAAGATGGCTCAGCAGGTAAAGGCACCCTGCCACCAAGTTGGATCCCCCAAGTCACACATGGTAGGAGAGCTGCCTCCTGCATCTTGTCCTCTGACCCCATGGACACCATGGCCCACACATGTCCTCTACCACATAGTAAATAAATACATACATAATTTTACAGAGAAAGGGAAATGAAATAAACCTATTTTATTTGTTTTTTCTGTAATTTCTTAGATATCAAGAATTCCAAAACTTTTGTCTTCCAGACATCTGAATTGATCTCTCAAACAAAACTCTTAAAAGGGGAAGAATATTAATTTTTCTTCAAACTATTGTTTTTTAATTGATTTGGAGAACTCTTATTAAGTATTACAGTTGCTAAGATATTGCAATTCACCTAGTCAATCCTCATCTTTTTTTTTTTTTTTTTTTTTTTTTTTGCTGGTTCTTTAAGAATGTTTTGAATATTGAAACTAATGTGTGTGTACTGTGAAAGAGGTCTAGACTCTGCTGCAGCCCTTGAGTTAATCTCTGCTGATTCTTGCAGTTCTTCAAGTTGCTGGTTTATGTGTGGATTTATTTTTAAAATATGCCCTTTTATTCACTGTATTGTGAAGTCAGTACTCTGGTATAAATTTAATCCCATATTGTCATTATCGACAATGCCTGTTATAGTTTCTCAGAGTGATCCTGAAGATGACTCTGCAATCTCTTATGATAGCTATTTAAGAAATAATTTTTTACCATGGTAAGCCACATCTTCCTGCATGAAAACCCCCTTAACATATTTATCTAATTACTTCCTCAGTAAAAGTTTCAGGAACTGTGGTTTTCCAGTTATTTTCTTTAAAGAATTTAAATTTGCAAGTCCAAGAATTTAAGTCTTTATAAAAATGTTTAAATGAATTCTAGGAAAATCAGTTCAAATAATTTTAAGAAAAAATATTCTAGATTTTAACCATTTTGGGGGAAATAAAAATTTGAAATTTTGTATTTAAGAAAATCTTTAAAGATGATGAAAGTTCTTTCTGTGGTCCAGATTTTGAGATGGTTTAATTTGACTTTGAACTCTGCTCACACATTTGCCTTCTCTTGTATCAAGTGTCCCCTGCCAGAAGATGCTTCCCTGGCTTCTTGTAGTCATTCATCTAAGCGGCAAGTTATTTTTAGAGAATGTTCACCTCTTTATTCAAGGTACAAATTAGTTTCAGACTGTGTGAATATGTGGGGAAGGATATGTAAATGCAGTTTGCATTTGGTTAGTGCTTAAATTAACCGCATGTGTTTAAGGGCTTGCTTTTGAACGTTCCTTTCTATCTTTAGCTAAAATGCATAATTCAGCATAATGCATATGGTTATATTGATCACAGCTGAAGATATTAGCACAAAGGAGCTCTGAAAATTGTTTAGTTAAATTGTTCTCTGCACTGTTATTAATGGTGTGCTGGAAGAATGTAAGTTTAAAGACTGAAATGGTATCTCATTTGAATAAAATGCTGTTTAACTTAACCTGCTTTTTGTCAAATCATAAGGTAAGATGGTTGTTTTTCATCTCATGCAGAGTGCTTTGATTTTTCCTATTATAATTCAGCAAGCCTATTTCCTCTTTGAACTGTAGCAGTTTTGGTACTTCTTAAAGACCCAAAACATATCCTAAATAAGCAGCTTGATGAAGAAAGACTACAGTGTATAATTCTACATAAATTCTGTAGAGAATCCAGCAGTGCTCAATGATGTTTTCCCATTAAGTTATTCTCCCACAAATGGCACTCTATTTTTAAAATAGCAGTGAATGGGCACATAGCTGTCAAAACAAAACAAAACAAAAGAGTAAAAGGATGGAAATACTTATATAACTATATTTGTATCTACTGACGTATTTGTACCTATACAAAATTGAAAGAATTAAGAAAAACCTAGAGCATAGGAAAGATCGCAGTGCACACTGTGTCCATGCTAAGTGGAGCAGTGTACACTATGTACAAGGTTCCCTACCTTCCTAATGCTGCAGCCCTTTTAATACAGTTCCTCATGTTGTGGTGAACCCCCTCCCGGTCATAAAATTATTTTCATCTCTACTTTGTAACTGTAATTTTGCTACTGCCATGAGTCGACAGAAAAATACCTGTGTTTTCCAGTGGTCTTAGACAACACCTGTGAAAAGGTCATTCAACCCCAGGTTGAGAACTGTGGCCTTTGTACATTAGCTGCATCTTAGAACCCCTGCTTCTGCAAACCAGAGTGAGTTCAGTTATCATCAGCATCTAAGGTTCCCATCCCTCTCATTTTGGTTATTCTGTTGTTACACCATTTGTTATTTCATTATTCTGTGTCATTGTCATTCTATCTACTAGTTGTTTTAACTGGATCAATACAAGGCATGCCACATTACCATTGTATTCCCTAACCTAAAAGTTTATTTTGTAACAATTCACAATGATTATTAATGGTGATGATTTAGTTTAGAGACAGGTGTCTGGCCCATACCTTCAAACTTGAGGTTGTTTTCACAGATGGAAATTCTTTTAGTGTACTGGATTTAAGCAACTTATACCATAAAATGACCCTTAATTTTTCTATCCATATAATAGAAATATTTATATATTTAATAAAGTACCTCTGTGTCTTTAAATAGCCTAGGATTTCTAGGAACTATAAGATATTAAAGTCTGCCCAATTTAGTCCATTTCCTCTTACCTGTGTAATTTAATACTTTTATTTGTGTGAAGTTTTTATAGCTTTAGGAGCACAAACATATTTCTGTTTAACATCCAGTCAGACTGCAAATGCATTCATGAAAAGAGTTCTTGGCAAATGTGTTACTTGATTTTTTTATTAAGAAAAGGAACAAAAATGTACAACCTGAATTGAGCACTTATAATAAACAAAAATTGTGAAATCAAAAAGAAATTGAGATACTTTGGGTGGCATGGTCTAGAAGCAGCCCACAATACAGCATATCTGCTTCCCACAGTGAAGACAGTGGGCAGTGCACTTCAGAACACAGCACTAAAGAATACAATGCACGTGCCTGCTAGCCATCAATGGCATTTTATTTTTTAATGTGTCTACGGGTTTTGCCTGCATGAATGTCTATGTACCATGTGCTTTCAATGCCTGCAGAGGCCAGAAGAGGGCACCAGATCCCCTTGAACTGGAGTGGTTATAAGGTGCCACCAGGGGTGCTTGAAATTGAACCCAGGTCCTCTAGAAAAGCAGCCACAGCTCGTAACTGCTGAGCCATCTTTCTAGCCCATACCCCCACCTCTTTTTAAGTTAAATGTGTTTAACACAAAGCAAGAAATTAGTGTTTGTATCTGCCATTTTCTTGATTTCTCCCTAACAGCCCTGCTATGTGTCATGGTGTCTGAATGCCTAGGCACCAGGGTCCTCTCCTTAAAGGTGACTGAAAACCACCTGCTAAGACAGGACCCATGAGCTGAGAATACACTTGAGTTATCACTGATGCTGCCTCAGAATCTATCTCCTGTGGGAACAGATCTGTTAGGGGTATGGCTGGTTAAATTGTGGATTTGAGTCTATAAAATAAATGATCGTGTTCTAATACAACAACTATGCTAAGTGAGAGAAAGAAAATTCAAAGAAGTCAATCAGAACACTAAAAGACTAATTTTTTTTTTTTTGCATGTCTTTCAGGACCCTTAGTAAGTAAGTAAAAATCGTATTTTTAGAAACATATATTCTTAGGCATTTTAAGTAGAATGTTCCTTTGAAGTCCCAGAAACCACAGTTTCCGTGTGTTAATGCTGTAAGCTTCAGTCTTAAGTTTTTGATAAGCGTGTGAGTCATGTGGTGGACACATGATGGTGTTCAATGGTTCCTCAGCCCCTGCTGCCTTCATCTAAGGTGCTGGAGCTATTTCTTCTCTGACCGGAATGATACTAGATCCAGCTTGGCGTGTAACCAAATTTAAATTTATTTAAATGTGTTCTTCATCATAATTCTCACTTAACTTTCTAATTGTGCTAACTTTATTTTTAAGACCAAAATGAGAAGCTCGTGCAAGAGAACAGAGAGCTCCAGCTACAGTGTCTGCAGCAGAGGCAGCAGCTGGATGAGTTGAAAAGCCGCATGAGGTTTTTCAACCAGGTGAACCATTTCCCTTCTTCAGAATGTGTGCATGCGCATGTCTCAAGCACAGAGAAAACAGTGCATATCAAAGGAAGAAACACAGATGTGTCACTTGGTTCATTAGCTAACACACCTGGTTGCTTATGTTTTCTGAGGCTATTCTGAGCAGTTTAAATATCCTGAGTACTTGGTTTCTTAAATTCATAGCCTCCAGGTACCTTGTGTTTTTCTAGATAGTCTAGTGGGAATGTGTGCTGGAAACTAATTCCTCACTGTGAGCTTTGACTTTTTCTCTTACAGGAGAGTGACGTTAATGCTGATGAGCTGGGTGAGGCTCTCCTGCTTATAAAGGTAGCATTTACAAATTAGCCATCGATTCCCTATCTCCTGTCTCAATGTGATGATGACCTTTGTCTAGAAACCTTATGTGTAGACAGTGAATTATTTGTGCATCTTCTAAAACTCACTGTATCTTAGTGCATGCATGTATCTGGGGAAAAGGCAAGGAAGAGAGAGCACAATAATGGACTGATTCGCGAAATGGCTAGATGACATTTAGTTACAGCATATGCATATTTCATAGTGACATCAAAGTCACATTAAGGTAGAGCTCAGCACTCTCATTCTAAGCCCTTTGACTGCAACACTGTATTTTTACCTGACCCACTATAAAATCAAGCTTGCATTCTGAAGTGAGGTACTGAACCGTAAATATAACACAAAGGTATTGTCTAGTGTTGAGATACATTTTCTACAAGTACATTTCTTATGTTTATGTCATAGTGTACATTTTGATCAGATGAAAAAATAAATGTCTGTGATCTCATTTTTTGTTGTGAAATTCATAAACTTTTTATTTTGCTATAGTTGTTTTCAAATATATATGCAAATGTATGTATTAACACTGCTTTGTTCCTAGTGAAAAAATGAAAGTGCATGAATCCTACTAAGTATTTCTTGATGCATCTCATTAATTCATATGACCACATTCTGCAAATTCTTGTTTCAATTAAAACATTTGGTTTTATTTTAGGCTCAGAAAGAACAAAAAAGTGGAGACCTTTCATTTTTAGAAAAAGTGGACAGCAAAATTAATAAAGATCTAGAACATTCCATGAAAGAACTTCAAGCAACTCATGCAGAAACAGTACAAGAACTTGAAAAGACAAGAAATATGCTAATTATGCAGCACAAAATCAATAAAGACTATCAGGTACTGTCAGACACTAAATCAAAACAGTATATTTTCTGTGATACTGTCCTGATGATTTCAAAGCAGCTTTTTGTATTTTCCTCTTTTATTATCTATTGTCACTAATTATTAAAGGTTACATTCCTGAATTTAGCCCTATAACTAGAGAGTTGGGATAAATAGTTTAAAAACAGGTGATTGAAGCCTTAGCTTAGGGAAGCACCTAGTGACAGTGGTCTCACTTGTAGTAGTATCATTGTAGTCTGCCGTGAAGTCCTCATGGTCATCCAGAAGCCCTGCCACAGCTGTCAGCTTTCAGTAATTCAGGGGCTCTGGCTGCAAAAAAGGAAGCCACTGCACTGTAAGCTATGTGACAGGAAGGTGCCATGCTTTAGAGCTCATGCTAGCCATCCAAAAGATATTAAAATCACCATAGTTTTGAAAACTGCAACTAGAAGTGCTTGATTCATAACATGGTAGCCTTAAATTCCATCTAGGAAATGTTTGAATCCTAGCATGGCAGCTTTAAAGCCCCATCTTAAAATGCTTGGCTCAAAGTCACTTTGACAGATGCAAATAGGATAATCGTAAGTAGTGAACCTCTCTGTCTCTTATTTTTAGATGGAAGTTGAGGCGGTGACTCAGAAGATGGAAAATTTGCAGCAAGATTATGAACTTAAAGTGGAACAATATGTCCATCTTCTTGATACCAGGGCTGCACGCATCCAAAAGCTGGAAGGTACATTGTGCACAGTTTTATGGCAGTTGAAAATGCTGTCCAAACCCTCGCTCATAATATCTTCCTGCTCTATTTTTTTCCAATTTGAAGCTGGAATAAGTTACTAGAATGACTATTTCATCTTTTCTACTTAAGAATTTTTAGTAGGGTTTTTCGAGAATTTACTGTGTTCAAATTCATATTGTGAGCTAGATTTCAACGCAGCACACAAAGCGTCCCAGACCCCAGTGTCACGCCACCTTTGTGCTTTTCCTGCTAAGGGGATGCGCACCTCAGCCAGCTCTACGTGCTTGGGCTTCATCACATTCATTTTGCTCTTTTGCAGTACCAGCCTTTGTTGCTGATGGATTTCTGCCTAAACTTCCTTTCTTCTTGACATCAAGCTAATACCCTTCTGTGTATTAGCACCATCTAACTTGGTGCTTACCGTGCCAGGAAGCAGCTCTAATTGATGCAACCACCATCCCTTTCCCTGAAGTGCCCTCACAGTGATTTTCAAGCTTTAGCAAATACAGAAATCATCTAAGAGAGCTATGTTTGGCAGTACATGTGTGCAGTTCCAGTTTTCCAGGGGATAACGTGGCAGGAATATGGGTTCAAAGCCAGCTTCTGCACCATGAGTTTATGGGCAGCCTGGACTATATAGAGAGGTCCTAACTTAAAAAAAAAAAAAAAAAAAATCTAAACACAGAAAGTACCATACTGTCTTCAGTTGGTTTGTGTACTTTGTATTTCAAGTGACAGTGTTATCTTTGACTTCCCCCCCCCAGCTAGAAGCCAGAACAACCCTAGGCTTCTTTCTGCCACTTACCCTACCTCACATCTAGACTGCTTTTCCTTCCTTATATGGTGGAGTGTGTGTGTGTGATGGCCCCACATCTTCTATGTGAAATCTGTGTGTCTTGGGGACAGAATGCACATATATTGTCATTGTTTCATTGATATAAATATCTTCCCTAGAGTTTCTTCACTGGAAACTTAACCTCAAATGCAATCGTGTTGAAGGACAGAATGTTTAAGAAGTAGTTAAGTCATTTGGCTCTGCTCTTGAGAATTGATGAATTCCACTACCATGGAAGTGGGTTCATTATTACTAGAGTGGGTTTATTGTAAGTGAATATGGCTCCTTCTGCCTTGGGATAGCATAGTGAGAAAACCCTTGTCAGATACAGAACCTTCAACTTGAACTTCCCGGCTTTTACAACTAACGATAAGAACTAAATCTCTTAGGTAGGAGCGTAGCTCAATGGTAGAATGCATGTGAGCCTGCACAGACCCCTGGGTTCAATCTCCAACACCATAAAGGAAATAAAACAAGGAATCTTTGTTCTTTATAAATTACCTGAACTCAATCTGTGACAGCACTAGAAGTGGATTAAGACAATGCTTTCTGCATTTTCTTGGCACACATCCTCTCCAGTAAAACACAGACTCCTATTTACTGGTCTAGCTTGTATGAGTTCCTTAAGGGCAGTGCTTCAGTTTTCCCCATCTGTATTCTTGCTGCCTACCGTCTGCTTATGATGCCGTGGAGGCTTCATTGTGTTATGGAGTGAATTTTTGTGTATAGGGGACAAGCAAAGTGTGCCAGTAAAAGCCTGCAAAGACTTGAATGAAAATTCTTCACTTGGTGACCTCCTTTTTAACCAAGAAAATTCCATTAAACAAACTTTTATTGAGTACTACATGGAACAAAAGGTACACAATGCTCTTTGACTTCTGGAAAGTTCTGTTCAGCCAGATAAAGACATTTAGTTAGTTGTTCTTCATAGACAAGAAGTTCTCAACGTTCTCAACCCCCACAGCTCTCCTAAACTGCTGTAGAAGCCTGCAAGGATAAAACTAGTTTTATGATAATATATTATTAGCCTTTTTTCATTTTTATTCTCTTACAAGTTTATAATGGCATTTCTCAGAGGCTGTATGATGTGTGATATCACAACAAATTAAACACAGCCACAGATCTATTCCAGCTGTTTTCTATTAAGCCAGACCCTAAAGACATTTGTAAAAAAAAATTTCAGTTAAAAGGATCAAAATAATGCCACTCTTCTCACATTTTTTTTGGAAATTACAACTTTGAAAAAATAAATACTACAATTTATGCTAACATGTAATAGGTTATTGTTGTTACATATGAAAAGGTACTTATATTTTTTTCTTTTCAATATGATCAATAGCAATAACTATAAATTGTTCTCAAAAGATTTTTGGGATCCCCAGTAACTTTTAAGATTATAAAGTTACTAATGAGATAGGTGACTTAAGTACTGAAGCCAGTGGACATGAAAGAGGCTAGTGCCTATCAATGCAGAACCCAGCAAACTAGCAGAGAGGGAAAAAATACCCTATAAGATGAAAATACAAAGAAGAGAAGGAGGGAGACAATGACATGGAAGTCAAGATAGGGTAATAGCTTAAAAGGAGTCATCACCCTGAAACAAAGAGATAAGGGAAGGTCTGACACTGCCCAGTCTCGAGCTGAGCTGCTTCCTTTTGAAGGGTAGTTTCACAGAGAATAAGGCATCTTCTTTCCAGGAGTGTCTTATAGGGGCATCTAGAGACACTGGAAGCTGTGCATATAGAAAGATGCACAACCTTTAAAAGACAGCTTTATGAAATAAAACTGATGTACTTTTACTGCAGGTTTAAAATATAAATTTCTTTAGTTTAGGCCTGTGTGTACAACTGTGAAACTATCATCATAATTGAGATGTTGGCCATATACCCATTACCTCTCCCAAAGTAGGATCAGGCATATCCTATTAAACTGAAGAGATGGTACCCAGTAAACAAGAGAGATCTACTGTGTAGGATGTAGCAAAGCTACAGGAGCACATGGCATCTGAATAGTGACCTCAGCTGTGAGCTGCCTGTTCTTTTTCCTATTCTCGGCTAAGGCTATCTTACAACTGAAGGTGTAATTCTTTTCATTTTCATTCTCTTAATTGTAATTGATGAGCCGCAGGTGCTTATATTTTGAAGTTGTAATTTTGTTTAGTGATTGGTGTCAAAGCAAGTCTTGAGGGTTTTATTGTTGTTGTTTTTAATGAGCATTATTTGCAGAAAATAATAGTACAGTTACAGACTTTAAGATGGAGAATATAACTGAAAGGCCCAGACATCCTGCCACTTCAGAAGCTAGTTTGCATCTGCATATGTCAGCAGTTTGACATCTCTAAACTCTCTTCCCTTGCAGCCCAGTTAAAGGACATTGCCTACGGCACTAAGCAGTACAAATTTAAACCAGAAATCATGCCAGATGACTCTGTTGATGAATTTGATGAAACCATCCACCTGGAACGAGGAGAAAACCTATTTGAAATCCACATTAACAAAGTCACCTTTTCTTCTGAAGTCCTGCAGGCATCTGGTGACAAAGAGCCTGTGACTTTCTGTACCTATGCTTTCTATGACTTTGAATTGCAGACAACTCCCGTGGTTCGAGGCCTTCGCCCAGAATACAACTTCACGTCTCAGTATCTTGTCCACGTAAACGACTTGTTTCTGCAGTACATTCAGAAGAACACTGTCACTCTGGAGCTCCACCAAGCCTACAGCACAGATTATGAAACAATTGCAGCGTGTCAGTTGAGATTCCATGAGATCCTAGAAAAAAACAGCCGAATATTTTCCACAGCAAGTTTAGTTGGTAAGTACATTTTATGATCTTTGGATGTTTGATTCATTAGGTTGGCTTATATATTCACTGGAATTCTACATTATATCTTTATTTTTAATGTTTTATTTTATTCTATGTATACAGATATTTCATGTGTGTGTGTGTGTGTGTGCGCGCGCGCGTACCACATGCATACCTGGTGCGACTGGTCCACTGGAACAGAGTTAAGGACAGTTTCAGTTGCCATGTAGGTGCTGGGAATAGAAGCCAAGTCCTCTAGAGGAGCACCCAGTATTCCTAACTGCTGAACTGCTTCTCCAGCCCCTACATTTGTATCTTATCTTATACATTAAGGGCATTTTGGGTAGGGACCTTTGAGTAGGTGATCTTTGCTCACAGGTGATTGAACGATCTTCAGTGTTATGAATGATGGTGCAAAGTAGCTATTAAAAGTTATGACCATTATAAATAGTCATTATAATTACAAAGTCAAATGTTTATTTTCATATTGATACTCTTGCTTAATTAAAATATGCCTTGTACTACATTCTGCCCCTTTCTCTGCAATGTTCTATGGACCTTGGAGGGGCCATATAGATGTCCAGTTTTAGGGCTGAACACTCAACAGTCACTTATTCCTAGCACTTTGGCCAATTAGGAATCTGCCTAATCTGCTGCAAAAGGAATTTCTCTGCCCAGTGCTGAGAACAACACTAGTCTATGGGTATAAACTTAACATATTTAGAAGACATTTTGTATGTTCATTAGCAAAACAATTGTAAACCCTCCCACCCAAGACCTATATGACCTTACCAGCCATATGGTTTTGACCATTTTTACAGTACCAAGCATATATTCCCTCCCATAGACAGGTCCCCAAATCCATTCAGACAGCAGTTGGTTACCCACAAACCAGTTATGCTACTATTACACCAGTAGACATTCCTTGCCTGGCGAGTTAGATGGACTGGAGTGGTCAGTGTAGTAATAAGGACCTAAGCTCTGCAACAGAAGCTTAGGGCTGTTAGTTCTCCCAGAAGCCATGGAGCAAAGTCATGATAGAGAAAGAGTGGAGTGTCACAGCGAGTACCATACAAGGGTACATTGACAGTGCTGTTATTTGGCATATCTATGACCTCTTCCATATGCTTGTGGTCCAGTGGAGAAGTGGAAGGATGCCAAAGATCCCTTAAAAGTTGAATCAGAATATGGAATGTCATATTTATAATTTTGAGGTTGTATATTGTAAATGTCAGACTAGACTGAGTCCAACTTGTTTAAAGAAAAGTACCACAGTATCCAAAAGAATCTGTGGAGTATCTGATTGACTGTTTAGATTTTTCTTTATATGCAAGATTGAAATGATAGCAGTTGAAATAGCTCAATCATAGTTTGACATGGCTCTTTAATATTTAACATTCAGTGAAACTCATACTCCAGATGTAACTTGTCTTCATCTCTGTTATTTGCCAATCAAACTTTATTTGTGCAAGTCATATTACTTTACTCTGTATAAAGTTTATGCCTTTAATATATACCACCATTGGTGTATTTTACTCGTATATCTTCTCATTTATGTGACTATTTTAACAGTGGGTCATGCATTGATTATGTGTAGGAACTAAAGGAGACATCCCAAATTTTGGCACAGTAGAATACTGGTTCCGATTAAGAGTTCCCATGGATCAAGCAATTCGACTTTATCGAGAGCGTGCAAAGGCATTAGGATATATAACATCAAATTTTAAGAAGCCAGAGAAAATGCAATTGGTAAGCTTGTTAGACCGTAAGACCATTTTTATAGCACAGGACTCTATACTGTCTCCTTATATCCTACACTTTAATCCGAATCTGTTCTCTTTCACAGGTATCAATGGGCTAATTTAACCTTTTGTTTAAGAACAATCAGACTCTCAGGAAGTAGCCGGAACAGTATAAAGTTGTTTATACTTTGCCACTTTCTCCCAGTTGTAACATCTTACACAGTTAAAAGCATAATCTGGAAAGATGGAAATCAGTCTGGGAATGGGGTTCAGGTTCATGACTGGTATCCTAGCTCTTCATGAGACAGAGCACAAGGATGACAGATTCAAGACCAGCCTGAGCATCTTCACAAGACCCTGAATCAAAAGACAAAAAAAAAAAAAAAAAAAAAAAAAAAAAAAAAAAAAAAAATTAAAGGGCTAGGGATATAGTTTTATGGTAGAGTGCTTGCCTAGCATGTGCTCACTCCCTGGTGCTGAAAAACAAAACAGAGTACAGAATTGACACTGTAGTATTACCTGAGCACCCTACTTTAACCATACTTCATCAGTATTAGCTCAGTTGTTTGTGTGTTCATTCTGTGCAACTTGTAGATACCCCACAAGACACAGAACTGTTCCATCCACACAAAAGGATCCCCTTGTGCTTCTCAGGACACTTTTAGAAAATACATAGTAGTGTTATCACAAATCAAGAGACCTTCACTAATGATATCTGCTGTTAAAGAAATAACTATTATATCATTGATTATGCTTCTTTCAAACTGGTTCCTACCATTAGATTTTTTGAAATGCAAAGTAGAATACAAAATTAATACTTTGTTGCTGAATACCAGGAGTTTAAATGCAGCTCTCTCTTCCCCTAACTATATTTCATGGAGTCTTAATAGCCAAATTTTCAAATTGGTTCATAAGCCAGTAAATGCACTGAATCAAGTTAAATGGAATTCTGGAGTTGGTGACCTCTTCTATATAACATGAATATCAAAAGAAAAAAAGCATGTGAGTGACAGGGAGAGAACATGGCAGAAACATGTTGAAGTGTGCAGTCATAATTGTCTTCTTTCCTTGGAGTCTTTGGTTCTGGACCCCATAAACCAGTTTATGGTAGGTGATCCCACATCCAACCAAATAGCCCACCCAATTTGATTAAGGAATATTCCCTTGGCTTCTGTTAGACCAGGCAGATTTTGCTTTCCAAGAGCAAGGGAAAGTAACTCTTCCTGCCTCTAACATGTAAAATTGGGAGTTGTTACCAGCCATCTTCCATCATGTTAGCCAGCAAGATGAAATGAACAGAGTCTGAACTAAAAACAATGAGCTCATACTCGAGGAAAAATCAAAACTAGACAATGTGAATTCTTGTGTTTTCTCAAACGTACAAGCTATTAGGAGCCAACTATATTTCTGTTGTACAGATCCATGAGATATCCCTGTAATTTTATGTGGCGTTGTCTTCTTTGTTGCTTTAGCTGGGTGTATTGCTTCTTTGGCTTTAACTTAAAGGACCATGACAGTGTAAACATAGATTCTCAAACTGAAGAGGACATGTCCCCTGCTTCCCAGAGATCACCTTCCTGTAGCATTCTTCATAGCACACCTTCAAAGAGTCTGTTGCAGAGTGCTGTCTTGGTTTTCTGCTTTAATGAATTGATTGTGAGAAGGGATTGGGAGAGGGAGTACTTTAAAAGTCATTGCACTGAGCTTTCCCAGGTTGTGTACAAGCTCACCTGGATAAACTGTGTTGTGGCTGGTCAGGTTTCCCACTGCACACCAGTAGTAGAGGTCTCCACTGCAATGCCCTCCCACTCCAGCTTTTTACCCTTCCACTCTGGGTGAGCAAACGAGTCTCCTTTGGTTAGAATGGTCTTCAGAGCCACTACTGACTTGCTTCTTCCGTTACTGAGCAGAATTAAAGAACATCACATCAACTTTTGTCCTCAGTCTATTTGATATTAAGACTAATTTCTACAAATATCCTTGGTTACCCACGTTCGCTGCCAATAGCACAGGATTGTGTATTCCCATGTGTGCAATGTTTTTCATCGTATGGTTTTGAAGCATGTTAGTTTTGTATAAGAATCTTTTTTGCTGAGAAAAAAAATAACCTTAACATAAAAATATGTAGTTTTGTCCATTTACAATATTTTGTTTGCAGGTTGGCAGATGATAGTTATCTTTCGATTGTATTATTTCTGTAATGTAAATATGTATGTTTTTCCAGTTGAGTCAGCAAGCTCCCACAACTGCTCAGATCAGTTCAACAGATTCCACAGATGCCAACCTAAATGAGCTTCATATTACAATAAGATGTTGCAGCAACCTACAGTCCCGAGCAAGCCACCTGCAGCCACACGCATATGTTGTATACAAGTTTTTTGACTTTCCAGACCATGATACAGCCATCATTCCCAGTAGCAATGATCCGCAGTTTGATGACCACATGTGTTTCCCAGTGCCAATGAATATGGATTTGGATCGCTACCTTAAGTCAGAGTCTCTGAGTTTTTATGTGTTTGATGATAGTGATACCCAGGAGAATATTTACATAGGAAAAGTTAATGTGCCTCTGATTTCACTGGCACATGACAGGTATATCTCAGGTAAGAGTGTGTTCTTGAGTCTATAAAGCAAACTTAAAGTATACCTTAGTGCTATGTCTATAATTTAGTAGTAACTAGTTTTCCTAACATTGGACAATATTTGTACTTCAGGTCTATAATACTGTTTATATTTTTAGTTACTTCTTTGCTTGGAATTACAGCACTTTCAGTTTGAGGTATGTAATATATACCTTATAGTCTACTTAAAAATAATAGTAACTTCAGCAGGGTGGTGGTAGCACACACCTTTGATCCCAGCACTCGGAAGGCAGAGACAGGTGGATATCTGTGAATTCAAGGCCAGCCTGGTCCACAGAGTGAGTTCCAGGACAGGCTCTAAAGCTACACAGAGAAATCCTGTCTCCAAAAACAAAAACAAAATAGTAACTTCATTACACTAAATATTAAAAAGTCTAACATTATTTTTTCCTCTCTTCCCTCCTTTGTATTGTTACTGCCATGTATATGTACATGGTATGCTGGTATTTTGACATTTTTATTGATGTATATTAATTGCACAAAATAATGGGTTATGAATTTCATACATGTATATAACATGTTGGATCATATTCAACTCTGTTCCCCATTAACATCTTTCCTCCCTCCACCTTTGCCCATATATATTAAAAACAATGAAGTTTTCTAATTGCTTTATGTAAATCCCTTATTCCTGTAATGAATTTAAAGAGAATAAGAAGCTGTAATTATAGAGATATTATGTTTACTTATATATTTACTATATTGGGTACTTATTTTTTCCTGTAGATTGACTTCATTTCTCACTCTGATTTATGTCCTTACCATAGGGTCATTTCCTTGCTTCATGCAGCTCTACTTCAGTCCTTTATGATATATGTTATCTTATGAACCCAACAGTTATGAACCCAACAGTATAATTTTATAATTATTGGTTTATATGATTATCTTTTAAACCAGTTAAGGGGGAGAAAAGAAAAGATAGTTGCCTGGTATTTTGTGAATGCATATGCAGTTACCCTTTCAATCCCTATCAAATGTGTGGATTTGAGTTGCCATCATGTGTCTTTTTCTTTCAGCCTGAAGAAAGCTTATTTGATATATGCTGGGAGTCAGGTCTGCTGCTAGCAAAAGGGGTTCACTCATTGTTATCTTGGAATATTCTTACATTTCCTTTGGTTTTTTCTAAGGCTAGTAGTTTGGTTGTTGGGTTTTGGTTTGGTTTTGTTACCCTTCTAGCACATTTAGTATATCAGACCACTGGCTATGGGCAGCCATTGTTTCTAAGAAGCCACCTATTGACCATATTTTGAGTCACACATACATGATGATGTTTTTAAGGCTGTGTTTGAGGTTTTGAAATGGTTCGTGCCTACATGGTTTTCCTCTTGTGTTCCTTTTGCTTGCAGTTTACTGAGTTTCTTGTATGTATAGTATTGTATACCCAATCTGAATAGTCACATCATTTGTTTCTCCCCTTCCTTCTCCTCTTCTGATATATAGGTTGGTATGTTTAATTACACCCATAGGTCTCCCTGCCTTAGTTCTTTTTTTTCTTCCCATTATTTACATTTATATTTTTACTGTTCTCTCTTCTAGTAGACTGGATCATTTCCTGTGTCACTCACCTCTCCTGTTGAGCCCAATTGTTAAATATATTCCATTGCAGTAGTGTTTTTAGCTCCATAATTTCTATTATTTCTTTTTATCTTCATCTTCAACATGCTCCACCTCCACTCCCTATGCTGAGTCCCCATAGGCTCACACAAACCAGCACTCTACCACTTACTAATATCCCAACACCATTTCAGAAGGATGGATGGATATTAGGTTCTCTTTATTGTCTCTATTTGATAAGTCATTATCATATAATTTAATTTTTCTCATACATTTTTATTGAAAAAAATATATACAATATATTCTGATCATAGTTTCCTCTCTATGGACTCCTCCATGATCCTCCCACCTCTCCACCCACCCAACTCCATGCCCTCACTTTCTCTCTCTCTCTTTAGAAAACAAACAGGCAGAAAGATAGAAAAAAAGAAGGAAGGACAGAAGACATACAGACCAAAAAAACATAAAAACACAAAATGGAAAACCATAGTAAATAAGAAAAGACCAATAGAACAAAAAAAAAAAATCCCAAACAAAGCAAATTAAGACAAAAAAGTGTACAAAAATTACATGTAGTTTGTTTTGGGTTGACCATTGACTGCTAGGCAAAGAGCCTGCCTTTAAGTGTGGTTAATCTACCCAGTGAGACTCCATTGGAGAAATCTAACTATTCCTTTACAAGCTGGTATCAGTTGCAGATAGCATCTAGGTTAAAAGTGGGAGTGTGTATTCACTTCTTTCAGCAATGGGACCACATCTGGCTTGAACCTACACAGATTACAGAGAGCTACCAACTACGTTGACAGGATGTTTGGGAGGTTTCCATGGGGACAACTTGGCCAACTCAACTAGATATAAATCATTTCTGGAACTAGATGTTTTATGTGGTGGTGAAATATCTAGTTGGGGCATAGTGTCATTTATTTGGTGATCCTATTTATATTCCTTTCAAGTTTATATACGTCTTAGGAAGCTTCCAAAGCCATAGGTTTCCATATGACCTCTCAAATAATTTTAGGGCTAGTTTTCCCTCTCATATTTATTCCCTTTCTTACCCTTCTCATCCTTCCCCCTCCCCATTTAATCCTCTCACTCCAATCTCCCCTGTCTCCCAAAATTAATGCTATGCTTCCCTTTCCTAGATATATCCTCCTCCCAAGTCCTGTACTTACATGTAATCTTTGTGGTTATACAGATTATGGCATACCTATTAAAGGCTTAGAAACTAGTATCCACATGTGAAAGAAATCATATGAAATTTGTCTTTTCAGGTCTGGGATATCTACTCAGGAGTTTTGGTTTGGGTTTTTGTTGTTGTTGTTTGTTTGTTTGTTTGTTTTTGTTTTTGTGGGGTTTTTTTACTCCATCTATTTACCTACAAATTTCATAATCTTGATTTCTTTAACAGCTGAGTCATATTCCATTGTATAAATGTTCCACATTTCCATTGTCCATTCATCAGTTGATGGACATCTAGGCTGTTTCCAGTTTCTGGCTATTCCGGCTATTATGAATAGAGCAATAAACATGGATGAGCAAGTCTATCTGTAGTAGGATGTAGAGCCATTTGGGTCTATGTCCAAGAGTGATATAGCTAGATTTTGAGGTAGCTCTATTCCTAGCCTCTTAAGGAACAGTCACACTGATTTTCATTGCAGTTGTACAAGTTTTCACTTCTACAAGGGATAAATAGGTGTTCCCTTTCCCAACAGCCTTGACATCATGAGCTATCATTTGCTTTGTTGATTGTGTTGAGTCTGACTGACATAAGACCAAAACTCAAAGTAGTTTGGATTCACTTTCCCTGATGACTAAGGGTGCTGACATTTCTTTAAGTGTTTCTTGAACATTTGTGTTTGATCCTTTGAGAACTCTCTTTTTAGTTATGTATCCCATTTTGTAATTGGGTGGTTTTCTTGATGTCCATTTTTATTTCTTTATATATTTTAGATATAAGCCCTCTATTTGATGTGAAATTGGTGTTTTAAAAATGCCATTCTGTAGCCTGCTGATTTACCCTAATGATGTTGTCCTTTGCCATACAGAAGTTTTTTGGTTTCATGAGATCATCCCATATATTTTTTTTTCTCTTCTTTTTTTATTCTTCTCTCAAACAATATAACAGACATAGCCTCTACTCCCTCCCCTCCTTCTAGGCCCCCTACTACTTCTCTCCCCCAGATCCACTGTTTCTCCATTTCCCTTTAGAAAAGAGCATGCCTCCCAGGGATATCAACCAAACATGGCTTAACAAGATAAAATACCACTAAGTATAAACCGTCATATGGCTGGACGAGGAAGGTAAAGAAAGGGTTCAATGAGTAGGCAAAAGAGTCAGAAACACCTCCAATCCCACTGTTAGGAGTCCCACAAAACCCCCAAGCTAAACAATCACAGCATGTATGCAGAGAGCCTAGTGTAGACCCTTGTAGGGTCCTTGGTTGTGCCTCAGTCTTTGTGAACTCGTATGAACTGTGCTTAGTTCCTTATGTGTACTGTGTTCTCATGATGTCCTCATCCCTCTGACTCTAGTCCCAACACCCTCTTCTCTGGAGTTTCCTGAGCTCCACCTAATGTCTGGCTCTGTGTCTCTGTACATGCTCCCATTAGCTGCTGGAGGAAGCCTCTTTGATAGTGATAGATCTAAGCACCAGTCCGTGAGTAAAATATCATTAGGAAACATTTCACTGACTTTTTTTTTTTGACCAGTCATATTTGGTTCTACCCTAGGTCTCTGTACCATCCAGCTTCCAGACCCTTACCATCCAGGCAGTATCCAGCATGGGCTGCCTCTCATGGCTTAGGCCTCAAGTTGGCCATTCCCACAAGCTCTGAGCCACTATTGCCCCCAGAGCATCTTGCAGGCAGGACAGGTTGTGGGTCGTATGTTTTGTCACTGGGTTGGTGTAACCTAACTGGGTTACAGGAGAGATGGTCTGTTCAAGCTCTAAACCCTCCATTCCTTGGAGCCTTCATTAGGGTCACCCTCTTAGGTTCCAGGCAGTTTCCACTGCACTGTTTCCATATCACCCCCTAAACACCCACCCATTTCAGTTGTCTCTCCCTGTGATCTCCCTCCATCCCTCCCTACCCTCCAGATCCCTCCTATTTCCATCCCCACCCACCCCCAGTCCACCCATAAAATCTATTCTGTTTCCCCTTCCCAAGGAGATCCCTGTGTCTCCCCTAGGCCTCTCCTCTTTATCTAACTACTCTGGGTCTGTGGATTGTAATGTGATTATCCTGTACTTAAAAGCTAATATCCACTTAGGAGTGAGTACTTATCATGTTTGTCTTTCTGGGTCTGGGTTGCCTCCCTCAGGGTGATTTTTTTTCTAATTCCATCCATTTGCCTGAAAATTTCATGATGTCATTTTTTTTTTCCTAACAGCTGAGTAATACTCCAC